TGTCAGTACTGGAAATATATATATATATAATCATAAAAACTAAAATAATCAGTTACCCATCTTTTCAAAGAATTTGTCCAAATTCTCACTTTTTTCATGTTGATAGTTTCCCTCAATTTGAACCATTTTCTGAAGAATTATGATTCTTGATAAACAAAATATAAATGCGGGAAACTGACTAATCTCTCATAAACAGAAAGATATTGAGTTAAAGATGGACACAGTACAGTCTGGACCAATAATAATAGCTTAGGAACCCAGAGCTGCCAAGGATACTAAAAGTTACTCCCGCCGTTTTCCCGCTTGAACGATTTTAACGGGAAACTAAATCAACGCTATAAAAGTTCACCAATTCAACTTAAAATTTCAAAACCAATCTAAAAACTTTCCCGTGGGTCTCCCGAGTTCCCCAATCAAAATTTGAGGCAAATCAGTCCAGGGCTTCCTAAGTTATGACAAACAGATAGACAATCAGAGATTACAACTGTATATATAACAATATATGTTCATATTATATTCCTCCCTTTTCCATCAAAACTTTTTTTCATTGAAAAAAATCGCGAGATTATCCAACAATAACATCTGTTTTAGATTTTCATGTTTTTTAAGCTGTTTCCTTTCTATTGGGGGTTCTCTACTATAAGTGGCTTGTGCATTTCTTGTGAATAAGAACCAATGTATAAATTATCAGTATCAATTTTCCAGTCAAAAAAAAAAACCAATATTATTTTTTGATAAACAAGAATATGCTAATCCTAGGGGGCGTTGCCCCGAAGCCTCCCCCTCATTGTATACTATATAGTGCAATGTTGTATGTTAGTATCAAAAAACATTAAATGTATGGTTGAAGACCAAGTATAAACCATAAACTGAGCACGAACAATAATGTTTTCTCTTTTATCGCTGAAGCGATTAAACCTTGCGCGGACACTATATATCGGGGAGATTGCAGTAAAATCGGGGTCGAAAAGAGCAAGTACACGAAAAGAAGTTGCAATAAATGCATAAAATAAAATGTTTAACAGTTACCATATATTTTGATCTATGATTTTTTATTTTTTTGAAATAAAAGAGATATAAAAAAAGATTTAAATTGCAATTTTCCTGATTGAGGTTGTAGTGAACAAATGTGCACAAGTATACTATTTTGAGTCACGGAAGTTCGTTGTAAGATTTTGACTCCACTGGAGACCACCGGAGAGAATTCATTTTTACTGGAGGGGTTTAAAAAATGCTTTTTACAATTTAAAACTTTACGCAAGGTGATTTACATTCCACTGGAGGGATTCAGATATCTTTCCAGGGGGTTTATAAATCCACTGGAGGGATTCAGATATCCTTCCTAGGGTTTATCATTCCAGTGGAGGGATTCAGATGTCTTTCCAGGGGGTTTATAAATCCACTGTAGGGATTCAGATATCTTTCCAGGGGGTTTATTAATCCACTGGAGGGATTCAGATATCTATCCAGGGGTTTATAAATCCACTGGAGGGATTCAGATATCTATCCAGGGGGTTTATAATTCCACTGGAGGGATTCAGATATCTTTCCTGGGGGTTTAAAAATCCACTGGAGGGATTCAGATAACCAACCAGGAGGTTCATAAATCCACTGGAGGAATTCAGATAACTTTCCATGGGGCTTATAAATCCACTGGAGGAATTCAGATATCTTTCCATGGGGCTTATAAATCCACTGGACGGATTCAGATATCTTTCCAGGAGTTTACAATTCCAGTGGAATTATAAATCCCCTGGATAGATATCTGAACCCTCCGGTGGATTGTAAATCACCATGCGTAAAGTTTCAAATTGAAAAAAGTTACTTTACAAACCTATCCAGTTAAAATAACATCCCTCCGGTGGTCTCCAGTAGAATCGAAATCTCACTATGAACTTCTTTGAGTCTACTATTTATTACGTCTTAAACCAACCAAGCATTAAAAGAAACAAGCGAAGCAGAAGAAAACAAAATATTTTTTCAAATTTTTATGGTTTAAAACTCCATATAAATCATTAATATCACCAAATTAATCAATTTACACAAGTGGAATTCGGAAAAAATAATTATATTTGTGCACGCACCTCAACCCTCCCCATTAATACAAACAAAGTACTTCCCTGATCTCGTTTCTGTAAAGTGTATGCAATGCAAGTTGCAACCCCCCCCCCCCCTCTTTTGTAGACTAGAGAAATTTACTTACCCTTGTATAGGGCGCAAAAATCAAATAAAAATCCAAACTTAAATACAAAAATTCACTTTACTTTATCCTCATGTTTTCTTGACTGTTTTGATAAAAGTAAATAAAGTTGATAAATTATTGCTATTCTCTAAATTATTACTCATCTCTACATCAACATCAGCTAAACAGCTAGGAAGCGGTGGGGGATGGAGGGGTTAAGCTCTTCCAGGTGTAATATTTTTACTTGGTCTGCTTTCACATTCTGCTTGTTGATCTCAATGTTTCTCTTGTTCCTGATGCTTATCCTGATGCTGCTGTTGATCTTGATGGTTGTCTTGATATTGATTATTCTCTTTTTGACCTTGATGCTTCTCTTGATTTTGATTCTTCTCTTGGTCTTGGTGCTTCTCTTGATATTGATTCTTCTCTTGATCTCCTTGCTTATCTTGCTCTCAATGCTTCTCTTGATCTCGATGCTTTTCTTGATCTTGATTCTTCTCTTGATCTCAATGTTTTTCTTGATTCATGCTGTGTATTACAGGCTGATATCTGGTATACTTCCACCTTTCTTTATTAATAACTGCCGGATCTCCTTCCAGGTTTGTTGCAAATGTTATCTTCATTTCTCCTACTTCATTGCCTAGCTGGTATTCTACGTTCATATTCTCTGATCTCTTCTTATAGATTTCAAATTTTAAGTCATCTGTTTTCCCGTAATGTTTCGGATGCAAGGTCAGAACCAAATAGTTTTCCAGGAACATTTTGATCACTTTCCCTTTGTGTTTTTCATCCCGGTATTATATCTCATTTTTATCTATCTTGAAACTTTAACGAATAAACTTGCTCTGGCTTTCTTCTGTAATATAATTAGATTCTTGTACAGAATTTATACCTTCTGTTAATGTTTCATCTTCATCTTCTCCTACTTCCAGTTTACTTCTGTCTCTCAGCTATTCTCTGAGCCGGGCCTCTTTGTCAATATACAAACTGTTGTAAAAACGTTGGTGGGCATCGAAAATAATATGTTAGGTTGGTTAGTTAGTCAATTGGCAAGTTGGTCTGTTGGACGGTTGGTTTGTTAATTAGTAGACTAATTTCCTAAAGTTCCTTTAATTGGACACAAAAAAGTCAAATGTGGTGGTACGGAAGGGGAAATAGTGGTGGCTCATGGCCGCCTGCCTTCCCCCGCTCCACTGCCTAGATCTTGTGTTAATGCTGCAGCTCCTTGTCATAAAAAAAACAGGCATATTTCCTTCAACTCTGCATTGTACAGTCCCATGAGCATTTCATCCTTGAATTCTACCAGGCTCCTCTTGTCCGGAGCATATGCTTGTTCTTATAACCTCATCTTGTCAGTATGATATTTCATGGAATCTTCATCTCTTTCCTGTTCCCTGGCATAGGTATTCCTGTTTACGGCCATCCTGGTATTTCTCTTGTGAAAAACACCCATGTTTCACATTTCTTAAATGCTAACCCTGTGAGACGAAATGACACTATCTCTTTACTATGTGGTCCCATGATGCAGGACCCCAGCATCCTTATCAAATCTTCATTTGGGATTGTTTCCCATTTACAGTTAAGCAAATGAGTTTCCAAATTCTTGCACCTTTTGAACACTTTCTTTGGGTTTCCACTATGTTTGGGAGCACTCTTGACAAAATTCACTATTATCTACTGAATAATTATGTTAGCATCTACATACTGAGGGTTGCTCTCCCAGCTGCAACTACTTCCTTTAGGTGCTCCATGTATTGTTGTGTCTCATCTATCTTATTTTCTCAAACATTGTCTTCACTCCTGAAATCTTTCCCACTATTTGCAACTCTAGCTCCATTTGCTCCATCTTTTGCATTATGATTTGACATTCTGTTACTGTGAGTGTAGGGTTCTGATTTTTCACTGTTTGTAACTCTTTCCGCAATATTTCAGCTTGCATCTTCATTTCCTCCATATCTGGTTCTGTAACCGATTCTTTACATAGGGTCACGTGAATTTAACGGTTCTGTCAATATTCCAGAAAGCTGTGACATTTGATCACAATTTCTCCTATTAAACATAATTTTTCAGCCTTTTTTCATAAATACTTTTTTGTAGGCTTATACGTTTTGAATAAATAGTATTAAACAAACAAATCCGTAAGTTTAAAGATTTTTAAAATATAAACCAAAATGCGTATGATTTCAAATAGAAGAAACCGAATGCCTCTAACTCTGGTTAGTTCGGGGTGAGGTACTCTAATAGGGTACAATCTTAAACTGTACATTGTTACACTCTGGTACACTGTTTATTGAATTCTTGTACTCTGGTAATCTGTACATTCTGGTACTCTGTACGCTCTAGTACTTTGTACACGTTGGTACTCAGTACAATCTGGTAGTACTTTATACACTCTGGTGCTCTGTATGCTCTGGTTGCAGTCTTAACTTGTTGCTGCACTGTTAATGTTTCTTCTGACACAGTTTCTCTTATTACCAGTTAAACAAGGTAATCAATGTACTTTTCTTTCTTGGAGTGCGTGGCATTTAACTACTTTTGTACTAAATGCCTTCCTCCAATAATACTTTAGGCTGTATCAATCCAGATCCAACTCTCTCTGTATTCTAAAGTATGTATCAATCAAGATACAACTCGTACTCGAACTCTTTACTCTTTACTGAGTATTAATAAGTCTGACCGTAATTCAACTAACTATATTTTGGGTTTAATGGTATTAACAAACATAATTATACAAACAAGACATGCTAATTAGGGTTAAATTACTATATATACAGGTAGGTTCAGGTTTCCATGATATACTATATTTATTACATCCATATTCAATTTTGAATAAAAGATAGAAAAAATATAAATACAATTTCAAATACAGAAATACAATCAAACAATCTATCTTTTTTTGTTTATTGATCAATTGATTTAATTAATATCGAAACATAGAAAAATTATTATTTTTTAATAGTTGTAGATGATATACATTACAATATTTACAATACATACACCCTTACACAGATGATACTGTAAAGACGAGCAAAAATTCTAAAAATATAATGATTTCAAGCATGCTTTTTGGTTTCTGCATTCAATTCAGTACTTTGATGGTTTATTAAATGATAAAGTATATGAAATAAGCCATTTTCGGCCTACACGGAACCCAATTTCCGCTCAATCGTGTGAAGTCTCATCCATTTTTAGTTGAACATCTTCTATATATAAATTTGGCTTGTCTGTCTGTCTGTTTGTTTATCTGTCTGTTTGATTGTATCAAATAAACGTCAAAATGGCTGAACCGATAGGGCCCAAATTTTTTGTGGGACATCACGTGACCACAGGAAAGGTTTATGAATGATAAAATTTTTAAAAAATGTATTTTAAAGGTTTTTAATTTTGTAAAAAAAATTAAATTCTTGAAAATCCGCGAATTTTTTTTTAAAAATCCGCATAAAATTTTTTTTTCTTTGTTTTAAAATGTAAACAAAAAGAACATGTTCACAATTTAAATAGAAGATGGTCGCGAAGCGCCCTAAAAGCCTAGTATTATATACTTTGCTTGGGTGTCTGTTTGTTTGTTTGTATCCAATAAACGTCAAAACGGCTGAATCGATGGGGCCCAAAATTTTGCGTGGGACCTCACGTGGCCCCAGGAAAGGTTAATAGAAATTTACCTCGATTTTCATAAAAATTTTGAAAATTTTGTAAATCCTAAAAAATTGTTTGCATTCCGCGATTTTTTTTGTTTGTTTTTGTTTACAATGAATAGAAAGAGAAAGAAAATGCTCGCAATCGAAATAGAAGTTGGGCGCGAAGCGCCCTAAAAGCCTATTATAATATCTATACACATTGCACATATGTTTTCTATTTTTATTCGAAATCAAACAAGTCTATCTTTTGATTATGAATATTTAATTTTTAATTACTCGAAACATAGAAAAATTAGCTATTTTTTATAGGTTATCGATTGATACTATATACAAAAATAAAATTTGATTTGTAATAAAAAATAGAAAACATATTCCATCTAATCTCTATCTGTTTGCAATTATTAAACACGAATTATGATATCAATTATTAGAAAGATACAATATACAAATCAAGGGCGTACACAGGGGGGAGGGCAAGGGGGTTAGCGGCCCCCCCCCCCTAGAACTCGAAGCTATCAGAATTTTGAAATCTGAAATGAAGAGTGAAGAACATAAAAAAATTAGTTTGCCGTTTTTTTCTGCTAGTTTTGTTTGAATGAGAGATTTAAAGTAGTACAATTGTATGGTAACAGGACATGTTTGTGTTTTGTCACATTAATTGTGTTATAAAGTTATAGTCTAGAAGCCAAATATGTTTTGAATTACAGTTCAAATTTTGCCCGCGGCCCCTAGGAGCTCCTAGGGGGGGGGGAGGCAAAAAAGAAAAATTGCGCTTCGCACATATTTCCCCTCCCCAGATTTATTTCTGTGTATACGCCCTTTAATTACAAAATTAATTGTACAACTATGATAATATATGTTCAACTTGATTTTGAGTAAAAGGTGGAAAACATATATTCCATCTAATCAATTTATCTTTTTGATTCTCAATAATAATATTCCAATTTCTCGTATCTATTAATATTATACAATATTCGATTTACGTAAATATCTATTTTCATGTGATGAAATATGAACAAGTATACAGAAACCTTCATTGGTGTGACGTCAATCTGTCCTACTATATTGACCAATGAGAGAGCAGGGAGTGTATCTATGGACCAATCAGAGGCCGCCACACCAGCCTAGACCTAGCCCTAGTTAAACATTTCATCAGAAAGTCCTGAAATTATATAGCGAGAGGTACTAGGGTAGAGTTCAGTCAATTCAGAACGTTGAAGAATAACAATACAAAGGTTGATATCCATTGTGAATCACGGAGGGCAGGTTAAAGATGATGAATAAACCACAGATAATTGTGATACCTCAGAACATGCTCTCAGAGCAAAGCAGAAACTATTTAAAGCAAAGACTAGTTCTACCCTCAGCTCAAAAACCTATTGCAGCAGTTGTTGGGAACAAACGTCCTATTCCCAGCCTTCCAACTGAACTGAAGCGCCCCCTGCCCTCATTGTCTCCTGAATGGGTGACCCTGAAACGCCCCTTGGCCGAGGTTGAGATAAAAGAAGAAAATGAAGATGATGAACCCGCCAGAAAGAGAACCAATCTTGATCATCTATCACCAGAAGAAAGATTGTTAAGAAGAAAATTAAAGAACAGAGTCGCTGCACAAACAGCCAGGTATTAAATATGAAAGTAATTAAAAAATTTAATTTTCTACTAGTGTACTTTGATTAATAAATTCTTATTATCATCTTTAATAGAACTATGTATAAAGATTAACAATATATAATAAAATCATATTGAATGATATTATTCAAAATTATATGGATACTTTGATGAAAAAATATAAACCTGTTGCGATGAAACTGTGAAATTATATTATTATATATATATGAATTGATTTTATCAATTTGAAATAAAAATAATTATATACAATTTTAGCTGGATTCTGACATTTTTATTTAAAAATACCATATTTGATAAGTTGATTATTTTCAGGGATAGAAAGAAAGCATATATTGATGAACTAGAAGAAGAGCTTGCAAAGATAAAGGAAGAAAAGAGAAAACTCCAAGAAGAAAATTCCCGATTACAAAATTCTAATTTAAACCTTCAATTAGAGAACTCCTCCCTACTCCAGCAGAATAAGGATCTAGAATCTAGGTTGGGAAATATACATGTTCAGCTCCCTCTCTCACCCCTCTCCATCCCTAGAACACCATCCCCTAACAACCCTTTGCCGTCCCCAACCATGTCCTCCCCGTCCTCGTTGTTTGAGGTCCCTGAGGTAGATGATGAACCTGCCCTGGTATCCCCTGAGCCCGCTGTGCTCGTTCCTCTGCTGCAGGAAGGATACCAGGAGTACAGGAGGTTGGACCCGGTGTTGTCGTCCAAAGACTTGACGACCTGGTCCACCAACTGTGTGTCGCAGATTCTCATCTGGTCCTTGATGGTCCTATTATACAACAGGACGCAGTCCCAGCAGTCCCTACCCAGCAAGTCCCTCTCCCCGAAGAAGAGGTTTATCTTGAACAGTTCCAACATCTCGCCGATATTAACGTGTTCAGCCCAGACATTTCTACGCCCCTTGAAAAAGAGATTTTCCCTGAATCAGACTTCACCCTGGAACCTCAATATTCCGCCCCTGGAGGAGTCTCCGCCCCTGAAACCTCCACCACTGGAGTAGATTTACAGCTTGAATTTAAACCCTATGAGGATTCCTCCGCTCTGCTCGACACTCCCACTGCTGAACAGTTGCTGAAAGATCTCTGGGTGGAGTCCAACATGAACATCAATGAAGACTGGGAGTCTATGGAGTCCATGGACTCCAGTAACCCAGAGGACTGGGAGGAATCTCTTTTTCCTGATCTAGATTAGAACATGGAGTTCCTAGGTTCTATGTGGAAAAATATGATAAATTTATTATATTAATATGGTTTGTGATAAATGGGTTTAAATAAAAGCATAAAAAATCAAGTTTTATTTCTTCAGAGACTATCTTAAAGATTTTTTGTACTTGAAACGTTTCTAAGTTGTCTAATTTTTGGGAAACCCTGCAGATTAAGCGAAACTTTTGCGGGACTTTTCTAGATTGTCAGAGAATAGATACTAAAATTGGCTAAAACTGATAACGATTTTTAGATTTTGCTTTGACACTAGTACATTGACAAATTAATTTGAAGTTGCAAACTTAGCAAATATGACGAGAAGAATTTGTCAAATAAAAAAATGTAAAATTAACTTTCATTTCTCATTTTTTGATGTTTATTGCATACAAACAACTAAACATGCCAAATTTATTTTTTGCTCAAAATTTTACGAATTGCATGTTTTGCTCGATTATTAAAATAGTCTTTGGTGACTCCTCAATAATAAAGGTTGATTTCCCGCGGACCGATTTACAATGGTACCATTTACACCTTTATCTGATATCTTCGATTAGAAACCACAATTTGAAAGTAATAATTTTAAAGAAAGAAAAACAAAGAAATTTGAATGCATATTGATAATATATCGACGAAGGCATGTAACTTTTAAAATGTAGGGCTACGAACATTTTCCTTCAAAGCATTAACTGATAGTCTTTGTTGTATTTATAATATTTTGGGAACCACCGCAATGCAATTCTTTGAAGCAAATGAGGATTTAAGAAATAATTAACAAGGTAGTAATACAACATATAAAATAAATTTGTGCCAACATGTGTTTTATAGAAATAAAATTAGCAAATTTTAGAACAAAAGAACAAATGTTTAATTATAGCAAATTAAAACGAAACTTTTTTCAAGGACTTTATTTGCACTTTTCACACAACTGCACGATGTGCACGGTAGATGTTCTGGACAACTTTTAAATTTTGTTAAGATTTATTTTAGAAATTCCGACCTTTCCCAACCCTATACGAATTCTAACATATAGATCGTTTTTTTACACGGCAGCTGAAAATCAAGGGAAATTAAAACCCCTCAAGAATACAATGATTATCCCAAGGAGCGAGAAATATATTTTAACTATTAAAAATGTAAACATAATTGTATTAAAAAAACTTTCATCGATTTTTTTTTACAATCTTATCACATACATTAAAGCACACTAGCTATTATATATTTTTCATTTTAAATGCAATGGTCGGCGTTTATATCAATACAAAGAAGACGACTTTTCTATATTAGTTTTATAATTTCTGACAAGCTTTTTTCAAATTATAAGTTTACAAGTAAACGAAAAGAAGCTTTGAATTGACATTTTCTCCTTTTTAATGTTTATGTGTATCCACTATCCATGCCATGGTTGAAAGATTGGTATAAATCAAAAGTCGTCTGCATTGTATTGATATATACGACGACGACTGTAATACAATTTACAGTAACTGGGTTTCACAGCTCTCCATTACAGCGTCGTTTACACTAAAGCGTCGGAGCAGTTTTCTGAAAAAAAGTATAATAATTTTAAATTACTCTAATTTTACTTTTTGTTTGTAAAATTTTTCATCCAATTTTGTTGATTTTAATTAAAATCTTGAAAGATTTTTAAAGTCTTTATTTTTTTGTGAAAGCGTGCTTTTTTGTTTAAGAAAAGTTCGTTTTTTTGACTAAACAAATGTTGGGAATTTTTTTTAATGGTTCAGTTGTAGATTTCAAATTGCTTTGAAGAAGAAAGTTGCATTGTTTTCTGGTTCTCACTGCATGAAAACAGAATAAAATGATTGGAAAAAAATAGTATAAAAATCAAATTTGCCTTTCTGTAGGGTAGGGGTGCTGGCTAACACTACAATCACAGTGCTGACATAGCTTCCAAGTAGATCCAATACAAACACCTGAAAGTAGATCCAATATAAACACCTGAAAGTAGGTCGAATACAAACACCTGAAAGTAGATCCAATACAAACACCTGAAAGTAGATCCGATACAAACACCTGAAAGTAGATCCAATACAAACACCTGAAAGTAGATCCAATACAAACACCTGAAAGTAGATCCAATACAAACACCTGAAAGTAGATCCAATACAAACACCTGAAAGTAGATCCAATACAAACACCTGAAAGTAGATCCAATACAAACACCTGAAAGTAGATCCAATACAAACACCTGAAAGTAGATCCAATACAAACACCTGAAAGTAGATCCAATACAAACACCTGAAAGTAGATCCAATACAAACACCTGAAAGTAGATCCAATACAAACACCTGAAAGTAGATCCAATACAAACACCTGAAAGTAGATCCAATACAAACACCTGAAAGTAGATCCAATACAAACACCTGAAAGTAGATCCAATACAAACACCTGAAAGTAGATCCAATACAAACACCTGAAAGTAGATCCAATACAAACACCTGAAAGTAGATCCAATACAAACACCTGAAAGTAGATCCAATACAAACACCTGAAAGTAGATCCAATACAAACACCTGAAAGTAGATCCAATACAAACACCTGAAAGTAGATCCAATACAAACACCTGAAAGTAGATCCAATACAAACACCTGAAAGTAGANTTACATAATCAGAATATAAAACAAAATATTATTTTAATAGAAATCTGTTAACCTCATTTCCTGGGACCAAATTTAATAATAACAAGGTTGAGATGCGTAGACGTGATTCAGCCACTTCTCTTGTACGCTGGATCAAGTTGAAGAGAAACAGTTTAACTTTGTCTACGAGGTTCAACTACTTCTCTTGTACGCTGGGCCAAGTTGAAGAGAAGTGGCTCAACGTCTACGAGGTTCAACTACTTATCTTGTGCACCAGATCAAGATAAAGAGAAGCAGCTTAACTTTGTCTACGAGGTTCAACTACTTCTCTTGTACGCTGGGCCAAGTTGAATTGAAGTGGCTCAACTTTGTCTACGAGGTTCTACTTCTTCTCTTGTACACCAGATCCAGATAAAGAGAAGAAGCTTAACTTTGTCTACGAGGTTCAACTAGTTCTCTTGTACGCTGGGCCAAGTTGAATTGAAGTGGCTCAACTTTGTCTACGAGGTTCTACTTCTTCTCTTGTACACCAGATCAAGATAAAGAGAAGAAGCTTAACTTTGTCTACTAAGTTCAACTACTTCTCTCTGTTCAATTACAGTAATACTATTTTATCTCAGCAAAAATTTCAAATAAAATACAAATATTTGAAATTACACTTTACATGTAGATACATTGTTCCAAGTATATCAAACACAGTTAAGACAAATTTCTAGAAACATTATTATCATTATTATCAATATCAAGTAGATATCTGTATTCTATGCAATGTCTTCCTATCCATGAATGTCCAAGTTTACCTATTAAAGTTGACCAGCTTACAACAGCTGTAATACCAGCTAGAACCTGGAGGGACATACTACACTCATTATCATACTCCTGCAAAACAAATACTTCTATTAGATTATGTTAAAACGTCTGTAATTTCATGTTGACGCTCCGTCTAAAAAGAGGGGCGTGTTAGATTCACAACACTACTTTTTTAAACCTTTTTCGGAGCCAACAGGCCAAAGATATTCTTGTTTTTATATTTGAAAATAGATACTTTTCAATTCCAAAATAAATATCAACAGGGCACCGTTGTAACTAATTGTGATTAATTGCGTATACTGTATTCGAAACTGTAAAAATTAGTTTAATTCGTACAAGTGACATATTATGGAATTTGTCTACGATGGGGGGGGGGGGGCTCATTTTTTTTTCTGTCTATGTGGACTAAGAACCTGTTGAGGCCCAAACTCACTATTTTCAAAGCTAAGGAATTTAAAGCTATAGATCTCTTGTCTCAAAATATTTTGCTATCACATGTTAAAATCTTAGAGTTAACATTTAAAATTGTTTGAACGACCAAGCTTACATTATCTTATTTCACTTCTAAAAGAGGTGTGTGTCTTATCATCAACATTCCATACTGTTTTCTTGACTTTTCTGAGGGGCAGAAGAATGTCTTATAAGTCAATGAATTATCCATTTTTTAAACTCACTTCTTCAAAGCTAATGAATTTAACACTAGATGTCTCTGTGATCAATTTTTTGACACAATTTGTTGCTTTCACTTTTTCTTAGATAACATTTACAATTGTCTAAAACGACTAAGCAATTGCTTGATTCAACATTTTATATTGGTTTGTTGACTTTTCTTAGAAAAATGTCCTACAATTTACAAATCAAAGAATTATCCATTTCAGAAACTCATTATCTTCAAGGCCAAAAATTGATATTCCCCTAAACTACTATAAAATTGGAAATTTGGCCAGTTTTGTGCTAAAACCCTTGACAAGCTTGGAGTGGGAGGCGGAAAATTTAAATTTTGAGTGACATAGTGGCGCAACATTTTAAATATTTTTAAAAAAATATTTTCTCAAAAATCAAAATTTACGGGCTCACTATTATGGTGATTTAAAGGTTGCAAGTAATCAAGCAAAAATCGATGAGAATTTTGCCAATTACTTCTTAATAACCAAAACTAACAAGTGAGTTAGAGTGGTAAAATTACAGCCAAGCGACCCTGTATCAAAAATTTATGAGACTTTTTATAAGCAGGCTGAATCTATGTGGGGGTCACCAGGAGGGGGACCTTCCTCAGCTTTCCAGGGAATAAGGGGGGGATTTCTCCCATACCCCCCTTAAGCTGTCTGTGCCTCACTACCCCCATAAATGTTTTGTTAACCTCTGTAAGCCGTGGTTCGTCAGTAAGAAGCCAAAATGTTCCAACACTAAGCCAGGAAACACCTGAAAAATATACCAATAAGACCAACAACTACAATGTTCGTAATTTCGAAGAAAAATTTCGATTTAAGTCAGTTCGATAAAACTAACAAAATGTTAGTGTTTTTTAACGGTGCATTTTTGTGAAAACAATTTATGCAAATATGAGAAAAAAATATTTAATACCTGCCAGCACACACAAAACAGAAAGAACTAAAGTTACAAACAGCAAGACAGCAGTCAGTTTATTGTCTGTAATAATAATTAATAATAATTATAATAAAAATTCTAATGATATTAATCCTAATAATCATATTATCAATAACTAGCTTGATAACCCAGCATTGCCCAGGTAACTCATAGTTGCTTACCCGTTTACCCGTGCTTGGTCGTAAATTTCGATTTTAGCATTTTTTTCCTATAAAAGTCAACCCACTCAAATTAGAATCTGAAAACCAAGCGGAGAACATTCCCAAGGGTCTCCCGAGCTCCTATCAAAATTTGAGGAAAATCCGTGAAATGGTTCCTGAGTTATGATTGGACATCAAAACAAACAAACAGAGATTTAACAACTTTACATATTAAAAAAAAAATAATGAGAAAAATAATGAAAATGATAATAATAATATTAGTATTAATGATAAAAGAAATACTAAACTGCTCATTGCATTCATTGTAGTTTCAAATTCGCCTCCGTTTAGCCCGATTTACAATTTAGTACCCTTTATCTCAACAATTGAGAGATAAAAAGTGTTTTAGTCTTATGTTTCCTCCATTGTTTCTGTTGCAAACTAAACGAAATTTAGATATCTCAGTCATTCTTGATCTGACAAGCCTTTGACAGGTTGTTCATCGGACATATTTATCAATGATTGGAGAAACACTTGAAATAACGTCTACAGTCCCTTTAATGGAACTTTCTGTACTGTTGTGTGAGGGGAGGAAGGCCAGCCACAACAATTTCTAGTCCGAGCCACATTCTCCTCTTTTTCTCGTCCGAGCCACCTCTAAATCCTCGTCCTTCCAATATTATTTTTTAAAATTGTTTAGTTCTCCAAGATAAAACTATTTTTTATGAATCGGACCACGTTAGGGCATAAATGAAATATTGAATTTTAGTAAATCGAAAAAAAAATAGTTTCAATTGAATTAAAGTTTTCGAGTTGTATGTCCTTACAAATGTTCACCTTTTTTACGCGCATTTTCAGATATTCCTATTTATTGCTATTTATTTCATATCGCAAAGCTAGGCCATTACGGAGGCAGAAGAGTTTTAAATTTTACCTAAATAAAGTTTGACATCATTCTCATGTCTCTAAAGATTCAAACATGATTTAATCATTGCAATATCTTAGTCTATCCATATTTTATGTCCTAACGTGGCCAGATTTGATAAAAATAGTTTTATCTTCAAGAATTAGAAACTTTTGAACACGTAATAAACGAAGGACGAGGATTTCGAGGTGGTTTGGACGAGAAAATGAGGAGAATGTGGCTCGGACGAGAAGTTGTTGTGGCTGACCTTCCTCCCCTCGTTGTGTTCACCTTGCATTTTTGTTCCCTCTTCTGCAGGTAGGCAGGACAAGGATAACCAGCCCAGCCACAGAAATCACTAAACCCTGAACACATGAGCAAACCTTCATAGTGGATAGTTTAGAAACCTCATCTGCCTATTTTAAAATCAATTTATAATAAAGGCTGTTTTTTTTTGCATCGAATTAGAAGACATTTGCGATGTTATAACTTGTATATAATAAACTAGCTGGAGTGCCTGGCGTTTTCCGTGGAATAAAAAAAAATTGAATTTTCAAGTTTAAAATGCTTCGATTTTTGAAAAAAAAATCGAATTTTACGCCTAGGGTACCCATGGGTTTCCTAAAAAGATTCAGCCCATTCGGTACAGCCGTTTAACCAACTATAGCAGACATATAACTATATATATATGCATACATACAAATATACAAATATATAAATATGAGCGAAGAGCTTTATTATAAAGGATTACCTTCAAGGACGACTGTACAGAATTTATACTGTACAGTCGTCTTATATTTAGGATTCTCTGCAACATAAAACTTGTTTCGTTGCAATAAATAGGCCATAAAAAGACGATATATAAGGCAAGAGATCTAATTTAACCTTGTAATCGTCATATTTTATGAGTTTCAGGTCGTCTTTTCAGTTTTATCCATTGTGGGTAACCCGGTATATATACAGTTAAAACCTAAATAAGCAATGCATTGAAAGAATTCATCAAATGTCGTATTCTTCACTTTCTGATGATTGAATGTTGAAGATATTTAGTTTTTTAATTTAATGATTATATGGATGGAGCTCTTTAAAACTATTCCCGCATATCCATGGCTATATTTATTTATTTTACTGGGATACTGGAATTTACGTAAAATAGTATAACACCCTTTGAACTATTGTCAAGACGACATTTGATAAATTCTTTTGATGTATGGCTGTTAGGGTTTAACTGTATATTGCGCAAAGGTGCTTTATATTAGCAATGTCTTTAATATTGTGTATTCTCCTATATCGATGATCAGTTAAAAGTTTAATGATTACCTTTGATATATAATTTCAGAAAAAAAACTATTTGTTTAAGTTCTTAAAAATATTACATAATTCATGGTTGTACGGTTGTTAAATAACTGTTAAATTATTGTTCAAACCAATATTTAAGAAATATAAAAATCTATTAAATATGTGAAATTACCTGAAAAAGTATCCAGAAAGGAAGGCGTGGTTGTCTAGGACACGCCCCCAGGTCTACTACACCAACACATACACAGACCACGCCCCAACTACGACATCAGCTCTTGTTAAAAAAAATTGATAAATGAAAGAACAACTTTTTTTGCGAGAGTTCATAAGTGGACAAACTCACAAGGTTGAAAAAGAACGAACATATAAAAAGACTGTTAAGAATATTATTTTTTAAATGTCAAAAAGAAGAAAATATTTTTTAAACCATTTAAGTCTATATTTTCTAATCTTAAATAAAAGTGTGTCTTCAATTGAAAAGTGTCACAACTTTCGGGGAAACTGCATGGAAATGGAACTATAATCAAAGCAACGATGAAAGTTTAAAAAGGCCACAAGCTATAAATTTGAAATTCCTACATCTTTACACCGTTGACATTTTAAACTTTGAATACTTGATCATAGCTAATTAAAGTCTATAGTTTGAAATATCAATGGTCCACGACATTAGGTAGCAAAAAAAATAATTAGAAAATTAGAGTTTGAAACGAGAAATCATCTCCTCATACCTGACTAACAGAGCAGAAAGACAGATGTGAAACCATTTATTAAGGTTCATTATATGTTCTTGTTGTTTAAAATCTGAGAGAAATTCCTTCAGAACTGTCACATTGTTTTTGTTTACTATATATCGTCAATCATGATATATAACTTGTTTAAAATCACTTTATTTCAATTATTTCAAAAATGATTTTCTTGTGAAAGCAATTTTCAAAAAAATTATTTACCTCTCACAGATTTTTAAAATCATTATTAATTCTTTTTTTTAGAAACAATAGTTTTTCTTCTCCAGAACACTGGATGAATGTATTGTATATTTATTACTACCGGTGTTTGTAGCTTTGAATTGATAATATTTCTTATCTTTATCGCGCAGGAAGGGGTGGGGGGGGATAGATGGCAAGAGGGGGTAGGGGTATGTCCTACAATCTCTGAAAGGATGGGGGCGCACTGAACTAAACAGAACGGCTTTGTGAGCTCGTAGATTCTCAAGTTTTAATTTAACACACTAATTTCTTAAACTAAATAAATTCTCTTTAACTTTCTGAAACTTACAATTATTCTTTTAGTTTTTTGCGATTTCCTACAAAAATTTATTCTAAAATTAATTCATGAAGAAATCTGAAAACCCAAATCGAAGAAATCTGCGAAATCAAATTGAAGAAATTTTCAAAACACAGAATTGCTGAATATTGTCATCAGGAACAAGTTCTAATAAAAAGGATTAGAAAATGACGAACATGGTTAAAATAAGATCTCAGATATCTGACAAAATGATGGAGATAAGCCGACTCACTGTAGAAGTTGAAGGTATTGTCGGAGATTTCAAGTACAAGAGAACTTTGCAGATAAGAGAATCTATTGAGAAAAGAACCGAGATCATCAACGAATATGATTCAGTTTATAAAATTGAGGATGTACTTGACACAATTAAGATCATATGGGGAGCCAGCACCTGGAAAAGTATCACAATTAGAAAGAAATATGTAGACAGAGAGTTGATAATGAATGATATTGACACACAGTTCTATCTCTGTTCAGCCATAACTCTAACTTGCTGTAAGTCTGCTACCCTAACCCATCGTCCTGAGGCTTCCATTTCAACAATTTGGGCAGAGGAAACATTTTACATGATTGGATTACTGTCTGAGATAGTGAATAGAAAATTCTGTAATAACTCAAGAGAAATAATCATATCATCTTTTAAGCATTGAATAAGATATTTATTAAGCTTATTTTTTTCATTTTTGATCTAATGATATTTAATCAATAGTTATCTTCTTAATAAATTGTATTATCACCTCTGAGATGGAAACTCGAGTATTGTAGATTTAATGAGATCAATGCTTGATCTCTTATTTTTGTTAATCTGCAGATTAATTTAATCTTTATTTAATATCTAGAAAATTGTAAAAACTTAATCAGGGATATCTAACGGAGAAAATAAAGCAGAAATTTAAAGTGTACACAGAGAATATCGAGATTAAGCAATCGGGATTACACAAAAGTTCCCAGTTCAGATTTATTAATGTTTTAGCTCAAGAAATGTTCATAAAATAAGAAAAAGTTCATCAAGGGAAATCTTGCCATTCTCTTGCAATCGAGTAAGATTCTCAAACATTAAAAGAGGCATATTTTTAAAGATATCATTATTCCAGTATTTCAAAAATAAATATTTTTTTAGTTACAATCAATAATACAAAAAGTACAAATTCTTTCAAAAAGTACATATACAAAAATATGCTAGACATTGCAAAGGTTTCCCATAAAAAAAAATTAAAAGCCCATCAAGTTCGTCTTATGTAAATTGTAAATCAGAATAGTATGTAATTGCAAAATTAAAGCTTCACGCGTCTAACAATTCTGAAAACTTGATTCATCAAATTCGTGTTGATTATCACCCTGTTTTTTCATTTACGTGTTTGAGTTTATTATCTCTGTGTTAGTGTTATAACTTATATTGTGTAGGGGAGAGAGAGGCTTTATTTTAGTAGTTTGTTCTTAGTCGTGAGACAAGGTGTAGAGATTAGGTTTTTAGGTGCAAGTTTCAAGAGGGGGGGAAGGGGTGAATTATGAGCCCCATGGTTTTGTATAAATGAAGGTTTCATTGGTTTTTTTTAAAGCCCCATTATTGTGGTACTTACAATACAAGTACATTATTTGTCCTTAAACGGTGGAACGTTTTAAACCACAAAACTTTTACAAAGTATAGAAACTAAATTCTTTCTTTTTATTCAAGACGTTATGAGGAATCAAAGTCAGTGCAGTGACAGTATTTCCTCAAGGACTGATATTGACAAAAATTTGCATAATTATTCATGAAGGATAATCTCAAACAGTTAATAAAGTTAATTACATAAGTGCACAAAACCTTAATTGTTGCGTTGTGTCACATTTAACAAGATCAGTGGAAATAATAAATATGCAATGCATAGTACTCCATCATTCCATGCAATGAATGGAATAGGAAGACGACATTTAAGCAATCTTATTTGTATTTGATATTGTTATAAATCAAATAGTTAATAATGTAGCTTGACTTGATAAACTTATTGATTGAAATGGATCGGTGTACACTACATAAGTGCTACGTGGCATGTTCTATTTAACCCCCCCCCCCCCAACTAGAGTTTAAAAGTCGTCTTCCTTTTCCACAGTTACGGGATCTTACTGTATGGATATTGGATATGTACATATTTACTGCCATAACCAGTAAAAAGTGGAATGAAAATCTTTTTATTTGAGGATTGGTAATTAGCATGATTAGTTAACATTTTTAATAATCTATAGTAAAAGCTGCATATACAACTTTTTAGTACAACGTTAATTTTAATCGAATGAAATGAATTGTTAAACTTTAATTATAAAAAGTTGGCCTGAATTCTTTTTTCTACATGAAAACTTGTCTTATCAATGTAAAAAATAAATGACGAATTTATGAGCTCCCGTCGCGTATACACACTATATTCATACATGTTTTACGGATAAAAATTTGTCAGAAGGTTTAAAGATAAAAACTTCTAGAAGGACTAGCTGTCACGTGTTTTCAGGTAAACCCTCGCTTAATGTGTGGAACCTTAAATACCACATCTACAAAGGTGCAATTGAAATTTTTATAGAAGATATACAGGTGTTTCTATGTCTGGAAAAGTATTAGATTCTCATGATTTCTTCGTCATTTTAAGGTTTAAACTCCCTTTATCTAAAACACTTTTAGTCAGGGCGATCTTGTTTAAAGGGACTGTAAAAAGTGACCCTCCATCTTGTTTAAAGGGACTGTAAACGTGGTATCAAGTGACCCTCCATCTTGTTTAAAGGGACTGTAAACGTGGTATAAAGTGATCCTCCATCTTGTTTAAAGGAGCTGTAAACGTGGTATCAAGTGACCCTCCATCTTGTTTAAAGGGACTGTAAACGTGGTATCAAGTGACCCTCCATGCATTAGTTCTGTACAGTAATAAGTGTCCACCAATGTTCATGTAAAACAAGTCACTTTAATTTATGTTTAATTATTTTTATTACACATGGGTTGGCTTGGTGTACTATTTTATTACCTTGTTTATATTATTGGATTTCCCCTCTCAATCGTATTAGTCCATTTCGTATATTTTGTATATTTTGTATTTAGTTGTATATTTTTTACATAAACTTGCAGAATAAATATTTACTTTGATACTCTCAATAGTTTTAGTTCTATAGATCTTGTCCAATTACCACCTCTTAAAGGGACTGTCAACCTTATTTAAAGTGACTTCCCATTTATAGATAATCGATTCATATCGGTACCCATTTAAAGAGATTCATATCAGTACCCATTTAAAGAGATTCATAACGGTACCCATTTAAAGTGATTCATATCGGTACCCATTTAAAGAGATTCATAACGGTACCCATTTAAAGTGATTCATATTGGTACCCATTTAAAGTGATTCATATCGGTACCCATTTAAAGAGATTCATAACGGTACCCATTTAAAGAGATTCATAACGGTACCCATTTAAAGAGATTCATAACGGTACCCATTTAAAGAGATTCATAACGGTACCCATTTAAAGAGATTCATAACGGTACCCATTTAAAGAGATTCATAACGGTACCCATTTAAAGAGATTCATATCGGTACCCATTTAAAGAGATTCATATCAGTACCCATTTAAAGAGATTCATATCAGTACCCATTTTAAGAGATTCATATCGGTACCCATTTAAAGTGATTCATATCGGTACCCATTTAAAGAAATTAATATCAGTTCCCATTTAAAGTGATTCATAACGGTACCCATTTAAAGAGATTCATATCGCACTTAGGACTAACTAGAGTGAGAAGCATTCGGTTTCTTTTATTTAAAATCAAACTTGTTTTGGTCTATAATTCAACAATTTTTTTAAATTTAGAGATTTGTTTATACTTTACTTTTTCTTTCAAAGTATATATACCCACAAAAGTATTTGAGAAAAAAGGCTAAAAAATTATGCATAATGGGTCAAATTGTGATCGAAAGTCACAGTTTTCTGAAATTTTGACAGAACCGTTAAATCCACTTGATCGGTACCCATTTAAAGAGATTCAGAACGGTTGTACCCATAAAATTAATATTAATATTAATATCTTCTTATTTGATTCTCTTATTATTTCAGAAAACAATGGAAGTTAATGACAAGGCTAAAGGTAAAAGAGCAAAAAAAGTAATCAGGGATTGTCAGAAAAAATTGGAATTTGTCTTCTTTCTTATAGTTTCTTTAAGTAATATTTAAGAAATATTAGAAAATATTAGGAAATATTATGAAATATTCGGAAATATCAGGAAATATTACGAAATGTTAGGAAATATTAGGAAATATCAGGTAATATTAGAAAATATCAGGAAGTATTAAGAAATATTATGAAATATTATGAAATATTAGGTATAAGGAAATATTAGGAAATATTAGGAAATATTAGGAAATATTAGGAAATATTAGAAAATAAGAGGAAATATTAGGATATATTAAGAAATATTAGGAAATATCAAGAAATATTAGGAAATATTAAGAAATATTAGGAAATATTAGGAAATATTAGGAAATATTAAGAAATATTGGGAAATATTAAGAAATATTAAGAAATATTAGGAAATATTAAGAAATATTAGGAAATATTAAGAAATATAAGGAAATATTAGGAAATATTAAGAAATATTAGGAAATATTAGGAAATATTAGTAAATTTTAGGAAATTTTAGGAAATATTAGGAAATATTAGGAAATATTAGGAAATATTAAGAAATATGAGGAAATTAACGAAAACAGCAGTCATTCCACAGTTTTCTCATTTCCTTTCAGAGGAAAACACGTTGCAGAAGGCTTAAACGGACTTGATCCTCCATTTAAAGGGTTACATGCTCTATACTCATATTTCAGTTTTTATTTCTGACAATTGATCAAATTTTTAACTGGGGTTAATTTATAAAATTGACTAGCTGATTTTTGTTGGAGAGACAAGGAGCGTTGTTTGATATTATCTGTTATTGAGATAGAAGAACGTCAATATATTACTCTATGTCAACCATGTTAAGATTAAATCATGCATCTACGTCTTTATACGAGGATCACGTAACTAATCTCTTTAAAAAAGAATTCTTTATGGTTTTCTTCAGGATAATAAAAAGAAGGTTGTATAGAGGCACGTTAATTACAAAAGTCAAGTTTTGAAGCTACAAAAAAGTCTACATTTTGACAAGCTCATATACAACTGCGTTCTTCCCTTTTGTGATACACTCTTTTTTCAAAAAAGAAGCAACGATCTAAAATCAGAGACGATTTAAAACCTTTCTGTACATTTTATTTATATTGTATTGTATTTTTCATTCGATGAATTACTAAAGTTTTATACGGTTTAGAAGAAAAAGAAGTTGTAGATGAAGGAAGAAGAAAACAGAAAGAAGAAGCAGAACGAGCAGAAGAGAGAAGAGAGGAAGAAAATAGGATGAAGAATGAGAATAATGATAATGAAAATAACGACATAGATGAAGAAATTATTGTCCTCCAACAAGATATTATCTATCGTGCTGAACATGAGGTAATGAAGGAAGAGTTTTGATTCTTTATTTTGTTTCAGATATTTCTGCTTGTAAAACAATTTCAATTACCTTTTTTTGGACAGTTAAAGCTTGGAGTTAAGAACATTCACAGGGTTACCCACAAATGATGAGACTGTAATTAAATTAAGTATTCTGTCATGAGCATAGTCTTTTTATGACCCTTTTTAACAGACATTGTTAATTCCGTACAGTCGTCTCTGTAGTCTCATATCCTTTGTGGGAAACCAGCTTTTAAATATAGAAATCTGCACGAACAAATCAGAAATCAGGCTCTGATAACTGCATTAAATATCATCTGGCAAAATATATTTTTCGAATATAAAAATTATAGAAATACATGCATTAAATTGTTTTTAAACCCCCATGAGACAGCTGCACGTGCACATGCACATAAGTGTAGCATTGGAAAATTAATTGAGAACATTTTCTTGGGCCTTGTTGCGGCGCTGGGTTTTGGTAAATCAAGAACCGTTTTTTCGTGAGCGGCGGCGTAAGGTTTTGAGCAGTTGGATTGAAAAAAATTTAAGTTCCACGATTAAAAAGCTAAATCTTAAGCATAGAACTCTGAAGTTTTTCGATGCAACAATTGTCAGAACTATACGCCGCGCACAAGCCAGGTGTACGTAGAAAACGCCGACAAATGTAACAATAACAGTGCCTTATTTTTTGGGGGGTTAATTTATACCAATACTCCGACTCATTTAGATAAATACGAGAGACAGGCAGAGGAGAACTGGGTCAAGCAAATTTGACGAAGAATTGAAAATAAAACTAAACATTAACTTGGGTAAAATTAATTTTACATCAATCTTTTCCTAACTTTGTGCAGCCATGCAAATAGAAACTAAACAACACCGTTATTTTCTCACTTTTGTTAAATCTTTTACATTTAGCAGAAAAATGTCCAAATTTTTTTCAATAATTCTCCGAAAATATCAACAGAAAAGTCAAAAGTTTTGCACAATTTTTGCGAAAGAAAGCGCAAATTTTGCTTTCGTAGAGATATAATTTTTGCGCGATAAAATAGCTCATTGCGCAATCATTCGCAAACTTCATTTCGTGCAAAATTGTGCTATTCCACTTTTGCGTTTTTCTGTTGTACGCAAATTTGTGGAACATTATTCTCATTAAAAGGTTAATTGAAGGTGTAAACTGTATAGATTAGTTATCTATGAAATTGCACTTGCTGACATATAATTGTAATGCTTAAAACACGGAATGTTTACATGCCTAAATAAAACTCTATTTTGCAACCTGATGCATGATGGCACACTGAAAATCAAGATGTGCACGATCTCACTCAAAAATCGAGCAGTATTTTGCCAAATACTCATTTTAAACTTAAGATAGTAACAGACGCTTCTAGGCCTAGAAAAAAAGGATTTGTTAGTTGTGAGTTAAAACCATACGTTAAAGTTGAGGCTGCAACTTTGCTTATATCTAAGTGGATATTTATATATTTATATGTTAGCTATAGCTGGCGAAACGGCTGGACCAAATTGGGTAAACAATTGTTAGGGAAGCCATATGGTACCCTATAAGGGGTAACATAGGCAAAAAAGTTTTGTAAGATGAACAAAAATATTCTTAAATCTTTTTAAATTCCAAGAGTAACGCCGGGTACTCAAGCTAGTTGTACATATATATGTATATATAGGAGATTCCGACGAAAGAGAAAACTATTTTCAAGATGAGCTCAACTTTGATAAACACAAGGTTGGTAGCAATTGGAACAATTGGGATCATCAGTAACAGTCATGAGAAACAATGCATTTGGGGAAATATCCAAAGTCCAGGGACGTACGGGAGCATTTGGCTAGGGGGGCCCCCGCTTTGGCAACATTGTGCCCCCCCCCTTAAAAATCCCTTTTTTGAAAAAATATTGATACTTTTTTGTAAACTATTCGATAGTATACAAACTTCCATATAACAAGTGTTAATAAATTATTTATGTAATTTTCTTAAGTGTATCAGAAAATTCTTCTTAATACTGTGGTGTAAGCTTCAATGGGTGAAAAATATAGATGGAAACGTTTCTTAAAAATATCTACATTTTCATAAAACGATACATATTGAACAATTATAAATATTGATATCAAAGATATATTTACATTAAAGGCAGTATTGATTAAAGCTTTTTAATGAAGCATTTTAGTTAAGGGCAAAAGTGAGATTTTAAAGTAATTTTTATTTAGGTGCCCCCCCCCCTCAGGGGGTGGCACGCGTAGAGGAGTGCCGGGGGCCCGCTCTCGTACGCCCCTGCTAAAGTCTTTTTGTCAGAAAAAAGTTTGATAAAAGGTTTTATCAAGTTCAAATTCTCGAAAAAAAAATTGTAGGAAAAAATTAACAAAATCATACTTGTTGTGATGCTGCGTCTATCCAGAGCTGGGAACTTTAGAATGGTGGATATCAGGATTAATGCTTGATCCACTCTTTTTCTTAATCTCCAGATTAAATGATGCTTGTTCTCCTCATGAATTTAATCTCCAGATTAATTAACAGATCAGGATTAAGGATATCACATTCTAAAGTTTTCTGCTCTGTACACTTTGAAAAAATGTGCTGTATACAAAATTGTTGACCATAAATGTTGTATTTATGTGTCCCCCCCCCCTTAAGTCGTCTTTACCAAAACCCCGGAGAAGTTCCAAACCAAATCAATTCTCCGACATTGTTCTCTGTACTCTCCGACAAAAGGAAAATACAAACAGTAAAACGTGAATCAAATCCACAAATAACTTTGCATTCCATAGTAATTTCACTCTAAACAACAGTGTTTATATTTTCAGAAGTATTTTCAAATGTTTTAAACTACTCCGAACCCTAATCACTACTCAATATCTTGAAACAAAAAAAAACCCAGTATTTTATATAATCAATAATTCAATAACATTTATAAGTCGTTATTTATTTTTACTATACCTGCATTTTATTGCAGGTTTGAAATACATCTATTTAAACGATTATTTGCGACTACTGTGTCTGAGTTGAGGAGCCTAATCAACGAACCAACTAACTAACGAACCAACTAACTAACGAACCAACTAACCAACGAACCAACTAACTAACGAACCAACGAACCAACGAACCAACTAACTAACGAACCAACTAACCAACGTACCAATTACCCAATTAACCAACAAACCAATCAACCTCACTAACACCCAAGTATCGACCCCCCATAAATATGTTATGACTTCCTTAAAAAATGTCGATGCTAAAACTTACAAATTGTTCAACTAATTTTCATTTGTGCATCTTATCATGCTGTTCTGAAAGATAATTTCTTAATTTACTTTATTCTTGTAAATGTTTACAATATAGATAAGATATTTTAATGTTTTCATCATGTTTCGCATTTCATCACTTACCGACGGCACTAACCTAAAATATATATTGATTCTTTACTGCAAAACTACATTAATAAGAAAAAGTTGATTCACATCAGTACCCTTCAAGTCTTGTCTTATAAAGAACGAATCAGTTTTCATTATTTTAATTTAAAATATTTAATTATTGTTTCTCTCTAAAAATTAATGGCGAAATTATCTCTCTAAAAATTAATGGCGAAATTCTTACTATAGAAACAATAATTAAATTATGAGAATTTAACACTTATCTACATAGCTAGAATAACGACGATATCTTCCACATAGTTATTCAGTTATTCGTAATATAGGCTACAGTCTCATTATTTAAACGTAATACTGTCTACAGTCCCATTATCTAAACGTAATACTGTCTACAGTCCCATTATCTAAACGCAATACTGTCTACAGTCCCATTATCTAAACGTAATACTGTTTACAGTCTCATTATTTAAACGTAATATTGTCTACAGTCCCATTATCTAAACGTAATACTGTCTACAGTCCCATTATCTAAACGTAATACTGTCTACAGTCCCATTATCTAAACGTAATACTGTGTACAGTCCCATTATCTAAAAGTAATGCTGTCTACAGTCCCAGTATCTAAACGTAATACTGTCTACAGTCCCATTATCTAAACGTAATACTGTCTACAGTCCCATTATCTAAACGTAATACTGTCTACAGTCCCATTATCTAAAAGTAATAATGTGTACAGTCCTATTAATGTAAAAGAGTTACAATCTTTTTCCCTTCTCCCACATTACCAGCAGCGCTGAAGTTAAGAGCACAAATATATAAAAAGTTCTTTTTTAAGACACACACTGCAAGTCAGATTTGTTTTTCAGGATGTGAGTCGACAAACCAGCAAAGGGTCCATTAATGATAAATCCAGGTATAAAGGACAGAGGAACATATGTATACTACGCTTTCAGGGGGTTTCGCGCCCACCTTCGATTTTAACTTTTAACTGTTGCTTTAGCATCGGCATTTTCTCTTCATAAAGGAACTGAGTTTTGGCCACAAATTCTGATTTTAAAAGAGCTACATCTTTGCAACCTGATGGTGTAAATCTTTGATATTTCAAACTATCATAATTTGATCTAAAATGATTGATAGTTTGAATGTACGGATAAGAAAATCAGAGTTTGTGACAAAAACTCAATTTCTTTACTAACAACAATAAAAATAGCTTATAAATTCTTGAAATCTTGTTCGAAAAAACTATCACTTTTTTTAACACTATATCTTTGCAACCTGGTGGTGTAAACCAATTTCATATTTCAAACTAAGATTATTTCATCGAACAGAATTTATAGGTTGAAATATCTAAAGAATATGACATTGGATTGCAAAGAGTTTGTACTTTTTTTAAAGACTTTTGTGACCTTAATTTTCTTTTCATGTACTTCAAGAATGAATTTCAAAATATTGAAGAAAAAATAAGTAGCGATAACAGGGTTTATTTTTGTTGGAATTTAAAGTATATTTAAAAACTTTTAAATCTTTAAATTTTAGGAAAAATAAGTTATTTAAAGTTCTCCGGATGGAGATACACAGTTTCCCAAAAAGGATGATACAGGGTGTCCCAATAAGCATGGGAATATAGTGACGACTTCTATATCGTCTATGTTCAGAGTGATTTATTACTTGAGCACATTTTTTTAGTATTCCAGTTAAGTCAGTTAATACTCAAAACTGTTAGTCTTGGGAATTCTAAAATGTGGTCTACCATATTTGCATCTTCAAAATTGACGGAGATATTAAAAAATCTGTTCAGAATCTTTTTTAATTCACAACGAAAACTAACAAATGTTTAATATCTTCATCAATTTTAAAAATACAAAGAAGGCAGATCATATTTTCAAAATCTCATGACACGTTGAGTCTTCCTTTTGAATTGAATATCGAAATATTGAAATTGAAGACGATTTTCAAGTAGTCTCTTAATTCCCATGTTTATTGGGACACCCTGTACTTTAGAGACTACTGTACGGAATTTGCGTTGCCTGTTACTATGAACTATAAACTTTTTACTTGTTGCCTGTTACTATGAACTATAAACTTGTTACTTGTTGCCTGTTACTATGAACTATAAACTTGTTACTTGTTGCCTGTTACTGAACTATAAGCTTGTTACTTGTTGCCTTTTACTGAACTATAAACTTGTTACTTGTTGCCTGTTACTATGAACTTGTTTCTTTTTTTTGCCTAAACATTAAAATACCGCAAACATACACTAATAATGACAGATTGCTGAATTTAACCTGGAAAACCATATTTCTAGAGTTTTAGGTCGTCTTTACAGTCTCATTCTTTATGGGTAACCCTGTGCAAGTTGTAAACTCAAAAATTTGATTGAATATGATAGAGAAAGTAAAAGTAAAACTAATTGTCAAAACAAATTTTAAATGGCATATGTTTTTGTTTCAGAGGAAGAAATAAAAAGTTTTCAATAACCTCCACACATTCAGCTTTATCCGCAGCATCCTCGTACAGTGATAGTCCTTACATTCATCTTATGCATGATACTTTAGACAGGTGACAACTTTTCAAGGGATTGTTCAGTGTTTTCATGCAGACAATACAATTAAAGGGATTGTCGCGGCGTTACAGCTTTAATCTCATGAGTTGCAAGCTAGATTTTCAACGGTACCCTTTGATCCGAGCGAGGAAAAAATATTTGCTTTTCTTTCTGAAAACTGATTACTTTCAGGTTCCATGAAACATTACTTGCGGATTTCGTATCTTTTAAAGACATGCCTTTCATTAAATACAAGATCAATTGAAATAACAACGACATTCCCTTTAATTAACTCTTGAATTCATAAATACACTTTCGCAGAAGTACCTTTAAGTTACTAAATGATAATATATCCACCATCTTTTATTAGTTAATTGCTCTTTTAGTCGAATTTTTAGATCTTATACCAGAATTTTTTTTCTAGAAAAAAATCATTATTCAAATAAAAATTTTAAAACAAGAATGCAGTAGAAAATATGCATTCCTGAAGGCAAAAGAAAATAATACAACTCTCAAACAGTTTCAATTGAAGAACTTCATGCGTATCAAATATTACACGTAATGTTGTCTTTAAAATGCCATATTTATTGAGACAAACTAAATCTAAAGTATAAAAGTATCTAAATCTGATTCTAGGGGACTATCCACCCTGTCCTCTGATGGGTCTGGGTTTAAGAGAAAGATCTCCGAGGGTCCTGCTGCATTTCATGAAATAGAAACAGGTAAAATACTGTAAATTAGAACGTCACTTAAGCGCCCGCCACCACCGCACCACTTTTATACCACCTGGCGGCAAAATGTGGCAACTTTTTTATCTTTTATTTTTTAATCAAAACTTTTGAATAGTTTATTCTAGAAAACCAGTTTTGATACCTATATTAATAATTTTATACTAGTTACCCACAAAGGATTAGACTTTAGAGACAACTTTACGGAAGTAATACTGTCTGTTTCCTTAAATTCATGATGTCATGCAAATATTAAATTCTTTTTATATTTGCCAAATTATTAAATAAGCCATTTAAAGACCACATTCAAGGCAGTATACATAATTCAAAATTTTGATCACCATATTTAAAGAGTTTTAGGTCATCTTTACAGTCTCATCCTTTGTGGGAAATCCTGTATAATGAAGGCATTGATTAGCACAAAGGATAGATCTATATATTAGAGATTAATAGATTTAGAAGAATTGTTTATTAAACAGCTTTTAGGAGACTAATCATGTTTTATTTTTACAATGTAGTTTTATACTTCTAGTATACTAACTAGTATTACACATACATAATAAAATTTTAAAGAATCCATAAAATTGAGATAAGTTTTTTTTTAAATTTTCTATATGTATATTGTATACAGACAAGAAATTATTTTTTTTTGCCATTTTAATATTACGGTAATTAAAGATATTTGTATTTTTCTTAAAATCACGATTTTTTAGAAAATGTATTTCGTAATTATCTTAAAGTAAAATTAATAGTAATTGTATTTTACAAGTCTGAGTACGTTTTTATTTTTCAAATTATTTACAGTTTAACCCAATACTTCGGAGGGATTTAAAGAAACCATAAAATGTTGTCTTTACAATTTTTTAATGGGTTTTATACTATTTTATCAGAATATTAGTAATTGTAAAAATAAATACATAGTCATGAATATGTTTGAAAAGTTTTAAGAATACGACATTTTATGGATTCTTTCTATGTCTCCGAATCACTGGGTTATTACTGTTTGATTTGATAATTATTAAATTATAGAGTTTACTCTGAGTGATCTCGAGTTAGATGAGAGACCACCACTTCCACCTCCTGTCAAGGAGAAGACAGCTCCTGCCAAACCAATTAGAACCTCAAGACCAGGGAAATTCAGGGGAAAACAAGGAGGAAGCAAGGAAGGGAAAATATTTTAACATTTTTTTGTAATTTTTTTAAAACGATAATTATTATTTTTTTTTACATGCATTATACTTTTAAAGTCATGTTCTTATCTTGAGCACCTCATGTTCTTGTCTTTAACGCATTATGCTTTTGTCTTGGACGCATCATGTTCTTGTCTTATACGCATCATGTTCTTGTCTTGTACGTATCATGTTCTTTTCCCGTATGTATCTTCATGTTCTTGTCTTGAACGCAGCATGTTCTTATCTTGTATGCATCATGTTTTGTCTAATACGCAAATTGTGTTCTTATCTTGTACGCAACATGTTCTAGTTTTTATGCATCATGTTCTTGTCTTGTATGTATCTTGTTCTTGTCTTGTACGCATCATGTTCTTGTCTTGTTCGCATCATGTTTTTATCTTGTACACATGATGTTCTTGTCTTGTTCGCATCATGTTTTTATCTTGTACACATCATGTTATTTACTTGTACGCACCATGTAATTGTCCTGCACGTATCATGTTCTTGTCTTGTACGCATCATGTTCTTGTCTTGTTCGCAATATGTTCTTGTCTTGCATTTACCATGTGCTTATCTTGTACACATCATGTTCCCATCTTGTACGCATCATGTTCTTGATTTGTACGCAGCATGTTCTTTTCTTGTTCCTATATATCCTTATATCCGCTAGAACCCATGGAACTGTTTCATATTGAATAAAGACTGGTCTAATTTTTAAATAACTCTACTTTGAATCAATCTCAATAAATTTTGTTACTGGATGAGTAAGTAGATAATTCGAAAAATTATTAGATTACGAATTTTCTGATGTTTTTAATTTTAGGTGTTTGAAGATTATGAGAAAGTGATCAAGAATAGAACACAACACTCTCTAGAATTAGAGCAGGTGAAATCTTTAACAAACAGATTTTAAAAAACTTTAGAAATTCGCGAACAAAAAAAGTAAATACACAGGGTGAGTAAAAAGCGGGATTTAATTTTAGAAATATAATTTCGAGTTCACGTTTTGGGTATAACTGTTAACAATTTTTATACTTCATTGCATGTTGAACGTGATAAAAGTCTAGAATAGGTTTTGGGTATAGCTGTTAACAATTTTTATATTTCATTGCATGTTGAACGTGATAAAAGTCTAGACTAGGGTTTTTTTTTCTCAAAACTTTTGAGAAAGAAAGGGCAAATTTTTGCTTTCGTTGTGCTGTATTTTTTACAAAAAATAGCACTTTGCGCATTCAATCGCAAACTTCATTTTGCGCAAATTTGCGCTATTCAGCATTTGCGTTATTTTGTTTTGCGAAATTTTTGCGGAACAAATTATCAGTAAAAGGTTGAAAAAAGGTGTAAACTGTATAAATTAGTTACCTATAAGATTCCACTTTTTTGCATTTAGTTTAATGCTTTGAAAGAAACTGATTACTTGCCTAAAACTCTATTTTGCAACCTGATGCATGATGACACACTTCAAATCAAGATGTGCACGATCTCACTCAAAAGTCGAGCAGTATTTTGCCAAATACTCATTTTAAACTTTAGATAGTAACAGACGCGTAGCATTTTTAAAATGCATATGTCTAGGACTAGGCCCAGTAGTCAAAATTTGGTTGTTTCTGTGCTGAAACTGTAAATTTCGGTCAATTTGCAATAGCAATTTTTTCGTAAAAATTTACCTTTTGCGCAATTACTTCCGGTTTTGCGTAAATTACGAAAAAAAATTGCTAAAACTTATAGCGCTTCATGCGTAAAAGATGCACTAAAGTTCATCAAAAAAATATTTGCGCGAAAATTGCGCAAATTTTTCGCAAAAATACGGTCATTTCGTGGAAACCCTAGTGTAGAAACACATGTAGCTTTAGGGGCAATTGAATTGATATCCATTGCTTAAACTTTTGCTTTAAGGGGTTTAACTTATTAAAATGGGAATGGGTGGCCACAGTTGGCTTAAGCGTCTGAGCATAGGAATAACAGAATAAAAAGTCAAGACTTTACAGAAAAATTCGAAAGTCTTGGTGAATAAAGATAATGTAAAATATCTAAGATGTAAATTATATATTTCTTTATATTATAATTGTGCAGTAAATGCATGTTCATTGTTAACCTCTGATCATAATCTGAAATATAAAAGGTGTCCTATCAACAAGGATCAGTGGCAAACAGTAACTAATAAGATTTTCAAAATTAAGTTGGAAATCTTACTTGGATCAGATCTGAATTTTTTTTGGGGGGTACACCCTGTAATTATCTGATTGTAAGAGAAAAATATATTATTTCTACCACTTGTTCTTATTCAGGATTTGTACACTGTTCAAGAAACTGAATCAAGGAACAAGTTTGCAAATACAGCAATACCTAGTCCTACTAGTAGACAAGGTGGTTCATAGATTAAACATTATACAGACTATACCTAGTCCCACCAGCAGACAAGGTGGTTCATAGATTACATATTATACAGACAATACCTAGTCCCACTAGTAGACAAGGTGGTTCATAGATTAAATTCTATACAGACTTAACCTAGTCCGACTAGTAGACAAGGTGTTTCATAGATTAAATATTATACAGACTATACATAGTCCCACTAATAGACAAGGTGGTTCATAGATTAAATATTATACAGACTATACCTAGTCCCACCAGCAAACAAGGTGGTTCATAGATTACATATTATACAGACAATACCTAGTCCCACTAGTAGACAAGGTGGTTCATAGGTTAAATATTATATTATAAAGACTATACATAGTCCCACTAGTAGACAAGGTGGTTCATAGATTAAATATTATACAGACTATACCTAGTCCCACCAGCAGACAAGGTGGTTCATAGATTACATATTATACAGACTATACCTAGTCCCACTAGTAGACAAGGTGGTTCATAGATTAAATATTATACAAACTATACATAGTCTCACTAGTTCAGTAGGCAAGGTGGTTCATAGAATAAATATTATATAAACTATATGCCTAGTCCTAGTGTAGACAAGGTGGTTCATAGATTAAATACTATGCAGACTTAACCTAGTCTTACTAGTAGACAAGGTGGTTTATAGATTAAATATTATGAAGAATTTACCTAGTCCTACTAGTAAACAAGGTGGTTCATGACTATACATAGAATAATTATTATACAGGCTATACCTACTAGTCTAGACAAGGTGGTTCATAGAATAAATATTATTCAAACTTAACCTAGTCCTACTAGTAGAAAAGGTGGTTCATGACTATACCTAGTCCGACTAGTAGACAAGGTGGTTCATATATTAAATATTATAAAGACTATACATAGTCCCACTAGTAGACAAGGTGGTTTATAGATTAAATATTATGCAGAATTTACCTAGTCCTACTAGTAGACAAGGTGGTTCATAGATTAAATATTATACAGACTATACCTAGTCCCACGAGTAGACAAGGTGGTTCATAGATTAAATATTATACAGACTATACCTATTCCTATACTAGCTTAGACAAGACAGTTCATATATTAATTATTAGTAAGCATTCATCCGGGCTTTCTCAGTTGGTAAAAATCCCGACTTTCCCACCATGCGCTGATGCTCTGGAAAGTTATTGTTTTGATAGAACTTGTTCCTAGCATGCAGTTAAATATGTCACAGTCAAAATACACAAACCTTTGGTACCTTTAGTAAACATACCTTGAATGTTATCAAGTATACCTATAGTAGGGATTCAGTACCTATCCAGCGAACAAGATAATGCCCCATTTGTCCGGCAGTCTCCAGGCCGATCAACCTTCTGTACGTCACAGATAAAAGAAAGCAGGTATAGGACCGACAACAGTACAGTTAACACTGTTGAAATGGTGGATATATAGAAAATATAAATCATAAAACCCGTTTTGGGTTCATTAAGAAAATTGGAATGAAAAGAAAAGTATATAGGTGAAAAAATTGATATTTTTTACAAACACAAATTATATTTATATTAATTGTGTACCTTTACATGACAAAGAACGTCTTAAGTTTGACGACATGACTGAACAAATTGAAATCTTGAAAGCATATTATTGCAATACAGAACCAGCATTTATTATTGATTTATCATATATTTAGAGCTGTCCAGATTTTATTATTTCCAGGGAGTCTCAGCACCTATTAGGGCCTAAAAGCCCCTGGAAATCATAGGAAAGAAGATTGGCAAGCCCCACTAGTCCCCAACTCCTGCGTACTCTGAAAACTTTACTGAATAATTCTTTGTCGAATATATGTTTTTTTTTTGTCAACAATTTCAGACAAAAAAGTCCTTATCAAGTTGAAAAGGATTTTTGAATGACATGGTATTTAGGGACAGTAAAGTATCTACAGGGAACCTCAAAAAACCTCCCATGGCTAGATCACATTCTTTCAGGTCATTAAAAAGATTATTCGAAATAAAACAAATTTCAAAAAGTATTTTTTCTCACGAGTCATTATTGATTGTGATTATGCATCAGGGTATTTAAACGTTTTAAAAATTCCAGTTTTCAGATTGATGACCCCAAAATAATTTCATTTTTAATTTTTAGGAAATCTTTCCAGAAATTTGGCGATGATGTTGCGAAAACTTTCAGAAATTTGGCTGGAAAAATGGATTGAGACATTTAAAAAGGATTTTTTATATTTTTAAAATAAGTTTAAATATATTTTGTTTTCTGAACAGTATTTGAAAAAAGTCACAGTGAACAAAGATGTTTAAATATAGCCTTCACTAATTTTAAGATTATTTATGATAGACATTATAGTACAAAATTTGAGCTTTCCATGGATCTAACAGATCTTCTTTTTGTAAATACTAAAAAAAGACTTTATGTCTTTTTGATAAAAAAAACATCATCAAAAGGAGAAGGTAAATAATCCTTAAAGTACTAAATTCTCAACTGAATTTTACCAATAATTTCCCTCTAACACTGACAACAAAATGGTTGTGCACATTTATTTATTTCATCTGTCAAATCTCCTTAAATCTAAGAGAACTATCACAAAGTTACAAGAATTGTCTAATTCAATGCTCAGCCTCAAACTAAAACTTTATCATCATATGAAAGCATGCTGGGAAAGAGTGTTTTTTTTCTGGCTACAAAAGCCTGGAAAGTATTCAGAATGCATTATCATTGAAACATCAAGATATTTAGTTAAGAATGTATGTATTACAAATGAAGATATAGTGTGCGCACACTACACTAAAGAAAGCCGCACAACATTATAAACGCAAGTTCACCTAATTTCCTCTTTTTCAGCTGCCTTACTGGATCGTCTTTGCTAGAAGCGGTTATCGTAAAATTCTTACTGGATTCTGTTCTTTTCATGAAATGAAAACATTTTTTTTTTGGAGATGCTGCACTTAAATGACAGTTTTGAGCTTACTAAACCTGCATAAAATAAAAGACAATTTGTTAATAATAATTATTTTTGATTGCAAAGAAACTGCAAAAAATTTCTGTGATTGTTTATCTTCATTAGAAGTCTTGCAAGCCAAATTATAAAATATTTTCTCATTGATTTCTTGTAGAAAATACTGCCCATTAGTGTAGTGTACACTAGTTGTACATAAAAATATTAATGTACATCTTTAGAAGACTGTCATTTACAGAAATCAATATTTTCTAAAATGAATAATAAATAATATGATATTAAAATACAAAGTAAGTTTTCACCAAAACAAAAGAAATTAAATAGAGGTAAAAAGTCTTCTGAAATCTTTCCTAGTATGTTTGTCAATTTTCAGATTTCACAGAATCTTATCATTTTAAATACTTAAAACAAATTATCAAAGTATTGATAGCAATGATGTTATTTGTAAACCCCATAAAAAATGGTCGGTGTATATATCAATACAATGAAGACAATTTTTCTATTTAAGTTTTGATTTATAACAAACAGTTTTCAAATTACAAGTCGACATTGAAACAAAAGAGAATCTGGTATTTACATCTTCTCTTTGTTTCCACGTTTATTTGTAATCCATTTGAATTTGAAAGCTTGGTAATAATCAAAATTGAAATCTAAAGTAGTCTTCATTGTATTGATATATACGACGACAACTGTATATTATCCAGCACGCTTCCACCTCGGCAGTTGAAAATATTAGATTTGATTATATTAGCAGAATCCTCTTATTTCTCCAATACTACAGGAGTTTCGGCAGCAACTTTCAGCCAATCCCATTCGTCCTTTATCTCCATACTCTGCTAGCTGGGCCCTACACAGTAACACAAGAACATATACTCATTTTTTTCAATTTTTTATAAACATAAAAACATACTAGCTGGAGTCCCCGGCGTTGCCCGTAGAATTTTAAAAAACGAATTTAAAAAAAAATGATTTTTGAAAAAATAAAAGTTTGAATGTTTTTATTCTATGTTACCACTCGAGTACCAATGGGTTTCCTCAACACATTTCAGCCCATTCGGTCCAGCTGTTTGGCCAGCTTTAGATGACATGTATACATGAGAGCAAAAGCTTTATTATACAGAAATAGCTTTCAAAAATTACAAGGCTGTATAGTTCTGGAGGTTCGCTAACAAGATTTTTAAAATCATTATAATAATCTGGATGAAAAAAGTAACAAAAGTTCTACAGTAATCGCCACGTATATCAATACCATTAAAGACGACTTTCGATTACAATTTTGATTTAAATCAAGATGGAAAACAGCAAGAATAAAAATATAAACTTGTAATTTGGATTAAACCTAAATAAACAAGTCTTCATCATTGTATTTATATAATTGCCAACCACGGTATAAATTTCAAATTTACATTCTCTTATAATTACACCAGAAAAAAGTTTTATCTAGAAATATGTACGCAGACGAATTTTACATTTAGCAGTATCCAATACAACAAAACTTTCCAAGTACACTGCTCAGTGCTCAGTGGTCTGGCTTAAAGCTTTCAATTTTACTAATTAAGCCTTTCAACAGCAGCAAGGACATTTGATATTCTTGATATTTTTTAAAATGCTAACCTTGCTTCATTCCAGGTCGAATCATCTAAGCTCCTCTTGTTCATGTTCCTAAAATTATTCTGTTTAAAGAAGCTGGTTTCGATAAAATTTCTTTTTTCGAAATTATCAGAATTGGGGACAGTCAGAAAAAGAAAAAGAATGAAAGGAAAAGGACAAGAATTGATGACAAAATTTTATAAAATAAAAACATTCAGCAAAATAGTTGTAAAATAAATATCTTTTTATTTATTTGAATCAAGTTGGCTGCAGTTACTTTTCCCTGAAGGTTTGTTAATCTTGGGAACTTTTCTAATTTTCATTTCTGCCAACGTATAGTTTTAAGAGTAAAAAATTTGTTGAGGACTCAAAACTATTCTTTTACAGTAAAAAAGTTAAAAAGGTAGTATTGTCCTCTTATACTACGATGATGATATGAAAATGGAACATTAAACTTTAGATTTTGACCAACTTTCACCATTCAGCTAAAATATCCTACTTTTAGTTTTCTAAAAATACTGAAAAAAAATCTCAAACTGAGGCTTTTTTATGCAGAGTATACGCAGATAATGTTGACATATTAATTTTTTGGGAAGGGCAATCGATTTTAGGATCGAAGTTAGGTTCCGTAAAACATTTCTTAATCCAGCCAGGTTATTACCTTCCTCTCTTCTGCACAATTCCATCAAACTGGTTTAGATGCTCTATAATTCCGGCCCAGCCTAAACATAATTTTTTTTTTAACTTTGAGAATTTTTCTTAGCTTAAATATAGACAGATATGCTTTTCAGCTTCTGCCATTGTTGACAAAACTGAATAATATCATATTTGATTCTTTTATTTTTCGTTACTTCTTTCTAGCTTTTTTTTGCAGATAAACTGAGGATGTATCCCTCTAATTGCTCCCTCTCAAAGTTTCCATCTACTTCTACTTTTTATTATTATCTGTTTTTAAGATAAGTGTAGATGTTTTGTATGAATTGTTCAGATCTATAATTTTAAAGTTTTCCCCCAGCATTTTATCATGAAATTCTTTAGATGGGTATTTTCTGTACATGCTAACTTTTGCAATGCAATTGTTTTCATAAAATGTCACTTTTCAAACATTGCCCAGCTATGCACCATGAGCATATAATACCCAGGAAATATCTAACCTGTCAAACCCAGTTAAAAAACAACATTTAAATAAAAAAATTGAAATGAAAGAAACTGTTGTACAAATAGATTTCTCAGCCTAATTTGAAATTTGGAAAATGTTTACTTGGAACGAGTTGAAAATTTCTTTGGAAAAGTACATCTTTGGAAAAGTACAACTTTGGAAAAGTACAACTTTGGGAAAGTACAACTTTGGGAAAGTACAACTTTGGAAAAGTACAACTTTGTAAAAGTACAACTTTGGAAAAGTACAACTTTGGAAAAGTACAACTTTGGAAAAGTACAACTTTGTAAAAGTACAACTTTGGAAAAGTACAACTTTGGAAAAAAGTACAACTTTGGAAAAGTACAACTTTGGAAAAGTACAACTTTGGGAAAGTACAATTTTGGAAAAGTACAACTTTGTAAAAGTACAACTTTGGAAAAGTACAACTTTGCAAAAGTATAACTATGTAAAAGTACAACTTTGGGAAAGTACAACTTTGTAAAAGTACAACTTTGGAAAAGTACAACTTTTAAAAGTACAATTTTGGAAAAGTACAACTTTGGGAAAGTACAACTTTGGGAAAGTACAACTTTGTAAAAGTACAACTTTGGAAAAATACAACGATTAACTACGAAACTTTTACCTAGATCTTATCAAATAAACAAGGTATTTTATTATCTAGGTGTTTTAATTATTTTGTATATTTAAGATTTTTTGACTTTCTATATATGCTAAAAAAAAGTTTAGCATATTTTAAAACTGCAGTGCTCCCAATATTGCTTTTAATACACTATTTAAAATGTTTCTTCAGGCCATTTTTAAAATATTGGTTAATGTACAATAACACTGTACTCTGTACAGTAATTTTTATTCAATCAGATTATGTCAAAGTCTGTATTTAAATGTAAAAAGGCATATTTTAAAATGTTAAAAGCATATGCGGATCTTTATAAGCTGATTTACTTACGTTGTGATATTTGAGTTCCACAGGCTAGGTAGAGCATCACCATTAGGTTATCACCACACATCCTCATCTATAATGTAGAATATCATTAAGATTATCGATATCATCAATATCATCAATATCAACTTTAGCATTATCCTCAACACATTATTATAATCATAATCAACCATTGCAGCATTGTCATCGTCATCATAATAATCATAATTAACTTCAGCAGCATTATCATCATCATCAAAATAATCATCATCAATATCAAAGCAGCCTTATCATCATTCTCCCAATAACCATAATCAACTTCTGCAGCATTATCAACACATAATAATAATCATCATCAAAATCAGCAGCCTTATTATCATCATCACAATATCATCATTAACATCAGCAGCATTATCATCATCATAATGATAATCATCATCAAAATCAGCTGCATTATCATCATCATCATCAGTATCATTATCAACATCAGCAGCATTATCATCATCATCATAATAATAATCATCCTCAACATGAGCACCATTATCTTATCATCATAAAAATCATTACCAACATCAGCAGCATTATCCTCAGGTAACAAAAGTGAGGAATTTCCCCAAGTTCTCCAATTTGGTAACTTGCTTTGAAATTTCTTGAAAACAAGTTCTTGTTACTGATTCCTTGGAAATTCTTAGGAAATTCTCTGGAATATTTCCTAATTTGAGAGATATTTGGCAATCAGAGTTTTGAGATTTAGGTTCGAGAAATTCTCAGGACTTGGTCGCCAATTTTGTGGATTTTTCCCAAGAAATTTCTAAGAATGTTTCCAGCAAACTTTAAACATTTTTGCAAACATTTTATAATTGGAGGAAGAGCTAATTGTGAAGAGTTTTTTTCTAGCCTGTATTTTAAAAATATTAAAATTATTTGAAATTTCTCTATTTCTGTATTAAAGGTGTATTTGTATAATATATTAGTGTAGATACACAGAACATTTGTCACTAGTACTTCGATCATCATAATCAGCAACATTATCTTCATCACCATAATAATTATCATCAACATCAGCTGCATTATCATCATCATCATCATAATGAGCATCATCAATGTCTTTAGAAACATCATCATCATAATGCTCATCATCAATATCAGAGCATTATGATCATCATCAAGATCAGCTCCCTCATCATCATAATAATAATTATGATCAAGATCAGCTGCCTCATCATCATCAAAATAATCATCATCTTAAACTTCTGCAACATTGTCATCATAATTTTCAAATCGGTTTTAAGTATTTATCTACCCGACTTTGTCTCTTCTGTATCCCTGCAGGATAAAAACTGGTTCTAAAGTTTCCTCCAAGCAGCGCAGCACCAGTCTGGGGTAAACCGGTTTCGACCAAATCTTCGCTTAAATGGAAGCAAGTTGCTGGATCTACAAACAAAGGTTAAGTTCACTTTGCTTGCATACTCATGACTTCCTGCTGTTTGAAAGATTGGCAGAAATCAAAATTGAAAAAGGAAAGTTGTCTTCAATGTATTTAGTTGTACTAAGATGAATTGAACTTGGGCCAAAATTTGAGCCTTTGAAAAAAGAAAGAAAAGCTTTTGCTGGGACATCCTGCAAACCTGTATACAGATACTATTTATAGATTACAGATGCGTGTAGACAGAGACGTAGTAGACTAAGTAACCAGTGTGAAATGATTTGCTTTGATTCTTACCTACTATGACGAGGAAAATGATTTATTTTGATTCTCACTTGCAATGACGAAGAAAATGATTTATCTTGATTCTTTCTTGCTATGACGAGGAAAATGATTTCTCTTTATTCTTGCTTGCTTTGAAGAGGAAAATGATTTATTTTAATTATTACTTGCTATGACGGGGAAAATTGATTTGATTCTTACTTGCTATGACGAGGAAAATGAGTTATATTGATTCTTACTTGCTATAACGAGGAAAATTATTTATCTTGATTCTTGCTTCCTATGACGGGGGAAATGATTTATCTTGATTCTTACTTGCTATGACGGGGGAAATGATTTTTCTTGATTCTTAATTGCTATGACGAGGAAAATGATTTATCTTGATTCTTGCTTGCTCTATGACGGGGGAAATGATTTATCTTGATTCTTACTTGCTATGACGAGGAAAATGATTTATTTTAATTCTTACTTGCTATGACGAGGAAAATTATTCATCTTAATTCTTACTTGCTATGACAAGGAAAATGATTTTTTATTCTTACCTACTATGACAGGGAAAATGATTTATCTTAATTCGTGCTTGCTATGACGAGGAAAATAATTTATCTTAATTCTTACTTGCTATGACGGGGAAAATTGATTTGATTCTTACTTGCTATGACGAGGAAAGTCAGTTATTTCAATTCTTACTTGCTATGACGGGGAAAATTGATTTGATTCTTATTTGCTATGACGAGGAAAATGAGTTATTTTAATTCTTACTTGATATAACAAGGAAAATGAGTTATCTTAATTCTTACTTGCTATGACGAGGAAAACGGCAAAACAGGCGACGAGCATCTTTCAAACCTAAAAGAAAATGAATAAAATTAAAGAAGTCTTTCCAAAAGTCAGGAACGTCGAGAATTTTAACTTTTTAAATCTTTGTCTTGGTAGGTGGGGGGGGGGGCCTTAACATAAAAATGTGTAACATTTTGTCTGAAATTTCGAAAATAATGTTGGCGATATAATAATGTGCCCTAACATTATGTTCATAATTTAGAACTGTTCTCAGTAGTTTCCATTTCCAGTTTAGAAATGAAGTTGATGACTTTTTAAAATCTAGTCAAGACTAGGGTTTCTAGATTTTCGTTCAATCTCTTACGCGAAAATTTTGTTCAAGCAACGAACCAGTGAACTAAAAAAAATTCTTTAGTTTTTGCGAAAATTTTTTTTTAAATACTTTTTCGTGAAATTCGCAGAACTTTTTCGAAATTTTTCGCGAAAATTGTTCATCATATGAGTTCATCAATTCCACACAAGTCGGAAATGACCATGAATCGAGGAATAAGAAGGCTTTTTTTTAGCAATGACAAATTCCGCAATACACCTCTTCCTAACCCTCTCCAAACCTCCAAATTATCCAAATTAATTATCCATACCCCGACATCCAAGAAATAAAGAAGATAAAAAAGTGCAAAAAAATGCAAGCTGGCAGGCCTAGATTTGAGATTTAGCCTAGAATACAATTGCAGAAACCTTCACCCATCACAGGTTCCTACCCTTCCCATCTGATTTAAAAACAGTTAATGATCAGCTGTAATGAATCAGCATCACTGATAACTGCAATAATGAAAGCAAAATATAAAACTAAGAGAACAAAACACAAATACACTGCATTTCAAGTGTAGAGTGTAGGAACAGTGTGTCTACAACAAAATTCCAGAACCAAAAACATATTGCGAGTTATCGGGACGTTCAATAAACTTCTCTTTCAAAATGTAACCAAGAACATGATGGAAAATTGAAGCACAGGAAAAAAAAAACAGGAAAATTCTTTTAAAAAGAAGTAAAATTCTTTAAAATTGAGGTAAATTTGATTAAAAATGGAACAAAAAAAATCTTTTTAAAAAAAGTAGAAAGTTTCAAAATTGATCCGTGTACCTTGTATGATGTCCAAGTGAAGAATGGTAAGAAGAAGAAGAAATATTTCTCTTTTATACCTTGTACACATCTCTCTACTCTAGGGTTCTCATAGTATATTTCCAACCCTCAGATAGCAACAGATTATATGCCTCTCAACCTCTGTTAACCATTTACCTCCCCCCTAAATTCCTTTCATATTTCATACATCAGGACAATTTAAGCTGACTAAATAGTATGCATTAGCAGAGATCGATAATTTTAATAATATTATGATTTTTGATGATTTGGAGGAAACAGTGAAAAATTGAACATTAAAAATTAAAATGCAAGTTTTTAATCCTCTTTGATTCTTTTTACATCAAATAATGTATTTTTTCCCCCAATTTATCAATCAACCCTAAAAAAAAAAAAAACAGAAACCTAACTTCTGCGGGGAAAAAAATCGTGTCAGCTGTTTTTCACAATTTAAGCATTTGATAATTAAATTAAAAGTTTCTTAAATAGATGTAGATATCACAACCTACAGATTAGCGCTATTTGATGTTCAGTTTTGACCTAAGGGTTTAAATCCCTATATCTTTGCAACCCAATGTCGTAAACCTTAGATATTGCAGTATATGAATTCTTTTAGATCAAATAATCTAAGTTTGAAATATCAATGGTTTACATAGTCTGCAGGTTGTGAAGATATAGGGATTAGAAAATTTTAGCTTATGCCAATTAGACTCAATTTCTTTATTCAGTTACATGTTAGAAATGAAAAAAAATGGTCTTCTCTATCAATAAGAGTAGTTCTGAGCGAAACAAATAAGATTTCAATTTGACGTGCAGTTTACTTTAGTTTGACGTGAACTGATATATGAATAAATATGATGGTATTTACCAGTATCTATTTATCTGTTTATCTGTTTAGTTATATAATATTTATATCAAAGTACACTGTACAATACATGCCTTATATCGATGGGGTATAAAAAAATGTACAATTTTAAAATCAAATAAGAACACTAAACTAATATTTGTATAGTTCTGAATTATTTGATCCAATAGAATTCATAGTTTGACATATCTAATGTCTACGATATTGGGTTGCAAAGATATAGGGTTTAAAAAGTTGGGTTAATTTAAAGTTACGAGGATGCAAAGTTGTACTAAAAATTCCACATAAATTTGCTGTACAATTCAATTGTTTTACACGGTCCTTCTTAAAGGGACTGTACGCGGTATATGATAAAGTTTATTGAGATGTCAAAGTCTACTACAGTCAACGAGTATGGGTTCACACCCTTTGCTAATGGTAGATGTCAAAGTCTATTACAGTCAATGAGTGTAGGTTCACACCCTTTGCTAATGATTTATGTCAAAGTCTACTAAAGTCAACGAGTATGTGTTCACACCCTTTGCTAATGGTAGATGTCAAGTCTACTACAGTCAACGAGAATATATCTCTACTTTTGCTAAATCAATATGTATTTACAAGTTCAATGAATGCCTTCCTGAAAATGTTTTGATTATTTAAGTGCTGACTAATTATCTACTTGTAAATGCACAATGAATGTATATTCAGTTGAGATTTCAATATGTATACTTTGTTTCAACAAAAAAGATCAAACAAAATTATCAAACAATATATTTTCAATTGGCCCATAATAAATTTTCTTCTCTATTTTATTTTAAGCTGAACCATCATACATTATTATTTTGTATTTTGTGTTTGAAAATAAATACTATAACTATATATATATTGTAATGTAATTTTCAAAAAGAGGATTTAGTAGTCTATTTTTAAATATACTTAGAAAGTTGCTTCTTTTTAAGTTTAGAGGCATGGCATGGCATGGCATGTCCAATTGACAACGGTACCCTTAAAATCTTTATCTGAACAAGCATGAATTCGATATCCCTGTTTTTAAAAACTGATATTGCATACAAAACTGACTTGAAACATTTGGTTCTTCAAACATGTACACAATTAAACACCTTTTAAGCTGTAAAAACGACGTTTTCTTCCACATTTTTAGCGTTGTTAATCCTATATGTCACTCAATGGGTCAGTAACAACAACAGTCTATATAAATAAATGGATTGTTTTATTGGAATTTAATTGTTTATAAACACAGAAATCAAGTAAAAACTTAAGCATGAATATTTCTTTAAATGTAAGTACATACATGAAACGTGTATCTTTCATACATCAGTCATCACTGGGGGGGGGGGTATTTAGACATTAAATGACACGAAATTATGCATGTTAGCTAAAAAAGCACATATGTTGTCTGTATATAATGTTGACTTAAGTTGAAATATCTGAAAACTGACAAACTATAGTATATATAAAAATGTGTGACTTAAAATCTGCTTTCAGAAGAAGCGTAATGTGTATCTCCTTGAAAATTTTTCACTTTTAACTGTGGCGTCTTCTTGCGCATTTCTGTTGCTGAAACAAGTGAGAAAATTCTCAAAATTAAACACTTTTCAAGCATTAAACGAAAATATCTTCCACATTATTGATGAAATAAAAGATACTGTTGTGAATATGACATGTGAAGGGTACTTTAAATTTAATATAAATATTGTTAAACTGTGCTACCTGGATTCTAAATTCATTTTAAAAACCTCCTTCTATGTTTAATGCCATTCATAAATTGACATTGAACATGAGGCTGAGGAGAAAAGGGTTTTAAAGGGGGAGGTTATATTTCAAGAATACATTTACAAGGTTACAACGGACGATACTTCAATGACGATCCAAAAACTTCTACATTATGACGAGATAAAGGTTTAATGTAGCTTTTAATGGTGAATTTATAATTTAATGATTTGCAAAGAAAGAAACAAGTTTTACAAGACTATAAACATATCGTACAGTCGTCTCTGAAGGCTTATCCTATCTGGTTATTTTTATATTATAGATACATATATATATCATATATTTCTAGGGTGTCCCCAAATTTTTTACATTTCTCTCATCCACATTCAATGAGATTTTAGTCTGAAATTGTGCTTGCAGCTACGGGGTTATTTGTTGGGACATATTATCTTTCCATTACATATAAATACAATATTTCAAAAAACTAAAAAAAAACTATGAATAGGGACAAACTCTGATTTATTTTCAAATTCCTATATTTTAAAACCTAAAACAAGGGAAGCGAACCTTTAAAAGAATATTATAGATTTACGGTGACTGGTAAGGCAAAAAAAAGATTGAAGAAAAAAAGGATGTCTACTTGGCTCAGACCGGTTTTAAGAAAAAAAAATCGTGAGTTTTTTTAATACAAAAAGAAGATCTTTTACAGCCTTGAAGCTGCCTGGCCTCCTTGTGTACATATATTGTACTTTATGTTATTGTTGTTCCTGGGTCTAAGTGTTGTCCTTGTGTCTGATGGAAAACAAACAGGTTCTAGAGGTAAACACAAATTCATAAACAGTCTCAAGTAGAGAGCTCAGCTTCGGGGATATCCTTCAACAACAGGGTTTCAGTTTAACATAGGATCAGGGGAACTAGGGGGACAACATCAATGCTATGTTTAATGTGTATATCTAAATACGACATTTAATACATTTTGTGATGTTTTCAAAATCGGCATGCAGATTGGACATTTGAAAACATTCAAATTCATTTTTGGAAATTCAGTAATTTGTGTAACAAAATTCAGTTATATGTGTAACAAAATTCAATAATATTTGTAAAAAAATGTAAAAGCTCTCGACCAACGACTGCTCAAAAATATTTGTATAATGTGAAAACCGGGTGTAATAGTAAAAAATAAAAAATTGTTTTTCAAAGCAAAAGTGCAAACTTAGGTTTTTTAAGTCATGTCTTTCCAAAAAGTTATTAATTAAAAGTATCAAACACGCGAAAGTGGGTCCAAACAGAGATTGAGTTTGTCATTGAAAAGAATGAACATTTTGGAGCAGTGCATGAAGTTATAATGTTAGTAAATTTCACAAAATTGTGTATTACATTATAAACAAGACAATAGTGCCTGTCAACCTATATTTTTTATAGAAGAAAAAATTATCACTTCTTTCCTAGCAGTGATTTATTTTACGATTTAAGATTATTCTAAATTTTTTGATTGACAGCTATATATCAGCTTCTACACACGTGGTATTTAAAGAAATATGCCAGAATGAAAAAGTACAAAAAAAGAAAAAGCATTTTGCATTAAAAAACATTTAAGATCTGAACATGATAAACGTAAATATACTGGAGAATGCAGTTTCAAAGTTTTATCATTTTCTAGCTCAATCTAATCCATATTATGATAGAAAATGTTGACATGTGTTTTCTTGAGCCGCGTAGAAAATCTATTTTTAGATTTTGTGTTAACTTGTCAAGACGCCATGCGTCTATATATCAGGAAGAAACTACAGCATAAAATCTGCATGAAACATTTTGTACTTCTGCATCTTGTTATGGGAGAAAAGTGCAAAACTGTATTATATAACCTCAATTATGCTTTAAATTATCTAGTTTCAACTGGAATTAACTGCATTTGTCTCAGTCATATTCAATTAACTTTGAAACTTCTGTATTCATTTCAATCCAAAAGCCTGATTTAAACATCATTTTTTATCTTAGCTCATGAATACTTTAGGGGATTATTAAACTAATCTATAATTTGAAAATAATAAATGTAGATTTAAATATTTTTCGTTTATTTTTTAATTATAATTGATCAAATATTTACAGATTTAAATGATTATCATTTATCAAGTAAAACAAGTAACTCTAATTAATTTTGTTAGGATGCTAAGACTATTTTGACATGAACATCATTACTTATTCTGAGCTGAAAACTTGAGAATGGTGGATATTGAGAATAATGCTTAATCCTCTCTTTTTCTTAATATCTAGTCTAACTTAAACTTCTACTTGTATCCTGAATTTGTATAAAATTCAAACAATCAGGTCGTATATATGAAGTCGATAAATTTGAAATTTTGCCGCCATTTCAGATTATATACAGAAACGGGAGGGACTCTCTAAATGAAAAAAAAAACGTTTTTTGATTTCTCTCTACTATATCCAAGAAAGAACGGCTTAAGAAGAAAATCAAAAGTGTGTCCATTGGATACTTGCAGATTAAGTAATCGGGATTAAGGATATCTCATTCTAAAGTTTTCAGCTCTGGCCTCATAGACTTTTGAATAAAAAAGGGATATTATGTGTATTCTCAAGTTAGTGAACAACTGCCTTCTCATGGTCGAGAATACTGTATTCATAATCAAGGCTGTTCATTATTTAAAAAATTATTTGAAAATTACGTTTAACATTTACTAAAATTCATTTATCCTCTTAGCCTAGCATAAAAAAATTCATAGCAATAAAAATGCAATGTAATTTTCTTAAGTTGCAATGGCAAATTTCTCCTATAGCAAAAAGCCATATTTCATCATCTCATGTTGTTCATCCTTATTAGATGGCTTCAAGTAATATAATAAATAGTCTTGCGGACTAGAATTAGATATGTGATGGTTATTAGACCTGGGCCTTGAAAAAAGTTTTTAAAAAAAACACAAAATTGTTTTTAATGCCTGTCAATTTGTTATTGAATATTCGGTTAAAATATAAATCTGCGTATTTCAGTCGTTAATGATTTAAATTTTTATAATTTATGTTGATTTTGATTAGATTGTTTATCGTGATAAAAGGGGAAAGAGATCGTATAAAAAGTTGCAAATTAAATGGTTTGGTAAAATTAAAGACTTTGTTTTATTATTAAAGATCCCCATTTAATTTGTTTTGCTTGCAAACCCTGGACAGTGATCACGTGACCTTGTCGCTCAACCACGTGGATAACAAGAGGAAATCAGCTGACTTATCTTTTTGTGTCAAATAGTACGACTGAGAACTGGAACAATAGTTTTATGGCTTTTTTCAAACTTAAAAAAGATCAGCTGTAAACCTTCCAACAAAAAATGTAAAAAACACACAATTCTTTAAGTTAAAAAAATTCAAGATTTTTTAGTTATATATTACAATATGTTATTCAATCTTTAATTAAAAAAATTTTTGATTTTTAATTTTCCTCTTCGAAATGAACTTTTCTTGAAGGGGAATTTTTTCTTTCTTAATTGTAAAATGAAAAATTAGAGTCTTTTTTTTGGAAGGAAGGTTGATAAAGAATTTATCTTTCTTTTTCTCAAAGCTTTAAAAATCATCCCCCACTATCCCATAAATATCACAATCCAGTGACATAATTTTTTTTAACTTAAAAGGAGAAAAATACAAATCTCATTTTATTTATTTAGTTAAATCAATTAATGTTTAAGATTATCTTGAAAATTGTGTACTATGTCTAATATCTGAATTAAATGTAAAATATGTCTTGGAAAAAAAAAATATTTTTCTACAACAAAAGTTTCTACAGTCTGCAGATTTTTAGTTAAATTGAAAAATAATATTTATCTTAAATATTTTATTTCCCTGCTTTGGTGAATGGTGCCAATTAGAATTAGATATCTTTATCACTGACGAAAGAATTTGTAATATTTGGCATTTTTACAAGAAATGTTAAAACCAACACGATAACAACTTCATAATTAATTTTCAATACTGTTCCTGCTTGAATTTTGCCATGCAAATTAAAGACTATTTTGATTTTTGCTTTCTTAAATTTCTTTTGGGGTGGGGGAGCGATATCAATGATGAATCAGTTAGTAAAAGAGTGATATAACATAGTACACTGTACACACTGTACACATTCTTAAAAAATGCTATTACCGTATTGTGATCAGATATTACTAGTGTCGTGTATGCTATGTAGTACAGTGAGAACCAGAAAACACTGGTATAGGAAGAAACCTTTAGGCTCTGGCCATGAACATGCAACACCGTAATTGTGCAGTGTAAACAGACCTATTTCACTAAGGAAGTAAATTGACATTTTACTTGTATAACTATTTACTTTGTAACTACATCCAATATACTTAATTACTGCTTTAAGGTCATCTTCCTATTCTACAGTTTTATGGTTCTCACTGTACTATATATAATCCCAGTTTTATGGTTCTCACTGTACTATATATAATCCCAGTTCTTATATCTTTCTCTCACTCTTTTCAAAATCTGAATTAATATTTTTTATTATTTTAGAATCGCTTATAGCTTAAAATGCCTAGAAAGGAGAAATCTAAAAGCTCCGCTATAGGCGAGGTAAATTTATTTTAAAGGGATTGGTACCGTTATTTCAAGTGACTCTATTTATAGAATGGCAAGTCGGATTCACGCCAATAACCCTAACAAAATGAGTTATTATTTTAAAATTTCATTAATTTCGATTGTGGTTTATTAATTAAAGTGACTTGCACATTTCTAATGCAGAAACGATTATCAGACTTTAACACTTCTAGAATTGCTGATAAAAAAAGGTTATAAGGGTACCTATGTAAATCAAACATGCCCATGTTTAAATATCTAAATTGACATACATTTTTGTTATTTCTTACGATGCCACCAGCAACTTTTTTAGGTTTATTTTGATCGATGGACATAAATGCATAAAGAAAGAGGCTGTCCAATCAATTACCGTTTTGACTTTTATCGGATACAAGCAAGCAGACCCGCCAAATATCTGTAATGATATGCAAATAGGTATAGTTTAATTGGTACACGTGGGTTAAAATGATTAATTGAAAACTGTTAAATCCTGCAATTCTGATAAAAATACTATTCTACCAGTACAATCATTTATCTTTATGAAAGCTTGATAAAATAAATTGACAACTTCTCCGTCAAATTAGTTTTCTCTTGAAGGTCGTAACCAGGGAGTACACCATCAACCTCCACAAGCGTCTCCATGGTATCGGGTTCAAGTATAGGGCTCCTAGAGCAGTTAAGGTATATCTTCTATCTATCCATCTATAGGGCTACTAGAGCAGTTAAGGTATAACTTCTATCCATCTATCTATAGGGCTCCTAGAGCAGTTAAGGTATATCATCTATCTATATATAGGGCTCCAAGAGCAGTTAAGGTATATCTTCTATCTATCTATCTATCTATCTATAGGGCTCCCAGAGCAGTTAAGGTATAACTTCTATCTATCTATATATAGGGCTACTAGAGCAGTTAAGGTATATCATCGATCTATCTATCTATAGGGCTCCTAGAGCAGTTAAGGTATATCTTCTATCTATCTATCTATAGGACTCCTAGAGCAGTTAAGGTATATCTTCTATCTATCTATCTATAGGGCTCCTAGAGCAGTTAAGGTATATCATCTATCTATCTATCTATAGGACTCCTAGAGCAGTTAAGGTATATCTTATATCTATCTATCTATGTTATTGATATTATTACAGGGCTCCTAGTACAGTTAAGGTATATCTTCTATTTATCTATTCATTTATCTATCTATCTACGTACCTGCCTACCTACCTACCTATCTACCCTCTTACAAGTGTCTCCATGGTATAGGGTTCAAGTATAGAGCTCATTGAGCAGTTAAGATATATAATATCTATCTATCTTTACCTACCTGCCTACCTACCTACCTACCTACTTTCCTACCTACCTAATTACCCTCTTACAAGTGTCTCCATGGTATAGGGTTCAAGTATAGAGCTCATTGAGCAGTTAAGATATATAATATCTATATATCTTTACCTACCTGCCTACCTACCTACCTACCTACTTTCCTACCTACCTAATTACCTACCTACCTACCTACCTACCTACCTACCTACCTAACTACCTACCTACCTACCTACCTACCTACCTACCTACCTACCTACCTACCTACCTACCTAGTAAACATGGAAACAAAGAGAAGCTGTAAATTAACAGCATCTATTTGTTTACTTGTAAACTTGTAATTTAAACAATCTTGTTAGAAATCAAAGCTTAAAGAGCAAGGCATCTTCATTGTATTGATATTAACGCTGACCACTGTAAGATGATTATTGAAAAATGATTATGTACAGGATGAGAATCAGGTTAGCCCGTCTCAGGAACGAAGATGAGGATTCCGTACATAAGCTGTACACACTGGTTACTCATGTGGTTGTACCCAAGGTAGAATATTATACATAAACTGTACACACTGGTTACCCATGTGCTTGTACCCAAGGTAGAATATTATACATAAACTGTACACACTGGTTACACATGTGCTTGTACCCAATATAGTACATAAACTGTACACACTGGTAAGTCATGTATTTTGGTTACTCATGTTCTTTTACCCAAGGTAGAATTACATGAACTGTACACACTGGTTACCCATGTGCTTGTACCCAAGGTAGAATTACATAAACTGCACACTGGTTACTCATGTACATGTACCCAAGGTAGAATACAGTACATAAGCTGTTCACACTGGTTACTCATTTACATGTACCCAAGGTAGAATATAGTACATAAGCTGTTCACACAGGTTACTCATGTGCTTGTACCAAAGGTAGAATATTATACATAAACTGTACACACTGGTTACACATGTGCTTGTACCCAAGGTAGAATATAGTACATAAGCTGTTCACACAGGTTACTCATGTACATGTACCCAAGGTAGAATATAGTACATACCCAGTACACACTGGTTGTTCATGTACTTGTACCCAAGGTAGAATATAGTACATAAACTGTACACACTGGTTACTCATGTACTTGTACCCAAGGTAGAATATAGTACATACCCAGTACACACTGGTTACTCATGTACTTGTACCCAAGGTAGAATATAGTACATACCCAGTACACACTGGTTACTTATGTAAATATTAAGTTGATATAAAAGGACCAGACTTGGATAAAAAATATTCAGAGTGGGGATAAAAAATAACTCCAATCTGACTCTAGTATTTGAGTCAATTTTAAGTTATATCTAAAAAATGTTTGTTTTAGAATGGGTTCAAAGGTCTTCAGACTGAGAATGTTGAAACCTCCTCAGAGTAGATCTTTAAGTACAACATTTATGATATCATGTACACTGTACAACATTGATGATATCATGTACACTATACAATGTGCAACATTGATTTCTTGTACACAGTACAATATTAATGATTTTATTTACAGCTTACCAACCTTATGTACATGAATATCTAGTACATTGTAATTTACAATTTGTAATATTATCAGTTATTTGGACATAATTCTAAACATTAAGTAATTAATCAATTAAGTTTAATTATTTAATTATGCTGTACTCCATGTAATCGATTATATGAAATATATAAATAAGAATATATTTTTTGTTTTATTTATATACAAATTTTAAATGTAACAGAGCTGGGAACTTCTGTGTTTGCTGCTTATAATTCCCGATCGCTTGATCTTGATATCCACTAATAATTTTAAAATTTATAAAAACTTAACCTTTCTATATCTTCATTCAAGTTATTTTACCCTTGATTAAAGCTCCCTTCAACCTTTGATTTATTCTTAAGACTAACAAAAGGTCGCAATCAAACCAAGATCTTTATATCCACAATACAAGAGTTCCTCAGATGACTAAAAAAAAACTTTATTACGGTATATCCCATGAATCCCGTATAAAAAAAAAAATATATTTTTTGTTTTATTTATATACAAATTTTAAATGTAACAGAGCTGGGAACTTCTGTGTTTGCTGCTTATAATTCCTGATCCCTTGATCTTGATATCCACTGAGGACACTTATAATTTTAAAATTTAAAGAAACTTGACCTTTCTATATCTTAATTCAAGTTATTTTCCTCCTGATTAAAGCCCCCTTCAACCTCTGCTCTGATTGGGTACGATTACCATGCGGGATATCGAATAAAGATAGATTTATTCTACGTATCTATCTAGATCGAGATCAAACAAAGATCTTTACATCCACAACACAAGAGTTCCTCAGATGTCTAAACTAAAACTTTATTACGGTATATCCCATGAATCCCGTATCAATGAAAACAACGGTATAAGTTTTATAATGTCGACTTGTAACCCTACTTGTGATCAATGCTTTGAAGCTGTAGTGCTTTTTCCCAGATTGTTAAAGGTGTAATAGTTCAAAAATTCAATGGGATATAAGTAGAACTGGGACATCGTTTGGTCTGTTTTTGTTAATATTGTAAACTATATAAATCTTCATTTCATATCTGTATTCTGATAAGTTTGCTTTTATTAAACTTTGCAGTACTTTTATTCTAAGAGATGAATTATAATATAATCAAAAAACGATATATTTTAGTTTTTTTGTGCATATATTTTCTCTCCGGGTCCAAATTTAGCAGTTTAATAAAATTAAATGTTCAGAATAAACATCATTGATTTTGTATAACCTTTTCAGTTAAAGTATTCTCAAAAACTAACACGCTTATTGCACAAATATCGAATATTTAAGCTTCCAACATATTCTGTTCTGACAGAGAATCAAATTTTAAAAAGCTACCATTCTCTATCTACATGGTGTCCCACAAAACATGACAGTTATTGAATAGTTTTGAATGTCGTTTTACATTTACTGTATTATGATATTTAAGGCTTTTTGCAGTTTATTACATAAAAAAGCTTGTGCACAAATGAATTTTACATTGAAATCAATTTTACTTTTATATGACTCCTATATGATATTTTTTTTTTTTGGTATCAATCAAGTTAACTAATTATGGAAGAAGACATTTTAATCTATTCACCAACTGTCATGTTTCTTGGGACACCCTGTATGTCAGAATGTAACTATAGTGTGACTATATGGTTAAACCTATGGTAATTGGTAAAAATGGAAAAGGACAAGACTAAAGGTCGATTTCTTATTCATGTTACCAATGGTACAACTTTGGGTCGTATCATATATCTTTCTATACTGCTCTGGTAAAGCGTAACCATATAGTGTGACTATGGTTCTACTTATGATAGAACGTCTAAGAAATTGGCCTTAAAAGGAAATGTATGTGAAATTTATAATGATCTCCTCTATTATGAAATCCATTAAAACACCAAACCACCCCGCTTATCATTGAAGTACACTCGGACCCCTAGAAGTATGAGTTCGCGGACTGAATAATTCTTGGTGATTTTGCGTACATAAGCTATCTATGTTTATTTATCTATCTATGGGTGGGTCACTTG